GCAATCAGCGCAATCAGCGACTCAATCACGGCCGTGAGTGGTCGGCGGCAGGCTGGCGCGCTGTCGCTGTCTCCCTCGCACCCCTACGGACCGCCCCATGAGTGCGAGAGAGGCAGCGCGCAGTCGGCACAGGGGGGTGCCTCCGGGGCGGATCCTCTGCTCGGACCCGCTCGGGCGGCGCGTCGAAGAGTCGGCGTGCACGACGGCGAGCTTTTTGCCGGCGGCAACCTCACGACAAACCTCTCGCATTTAAATGCAACTCGGTACAAATAAGCGAAAACTCGTTCCGCGCCGCAACGCGCCGCCAGCCCGGCGGTCGCCGCGAGCGTTTGTATTCAAATTGGGCCGAGCGGCGCTGGCGGCGGCGGCGCGATGGCGCGGCGCGGCACGGCGCGGGGGAGACGAACGAGTGCGGCGCCGGACTTGACTCTCGTCGCAGCGAGCGCATAGCAGGCGGCGGCCGCGGACCTCTCGCTTGCACCTGCACGGGACGCCGCATGAGCGCGAGAGAGACAGAGCGACGAAAACGACTCTCAGCCTGCTGGAGCGCCCCGCCGGCTCACCAGCGCGGCGCCTTAGTGAAATAGTTTGAAAGTATGCTCATTAGACCAGCACTCGCAGCGGCCGCGAGCCACTTCCGCGAGTTTCCCCCGCGGGGCCTCGGCGTCTTCGCGTCGCCACCCCTGTGGCTCAGCCACCGCGACTCCGCGGCGGTCCATCACACTGCAACTAGCCGCCCTCGGCCGCGGCCAGCCTGCCAGCCCCGGCGCGGACGCCCAAGAGGGAAGTGATAAGAGGTTTATGGCCGGCAGGGGCAGGAGAGTAGGGTGGCGGCATTCCCGGAGTTCCGCGCACGCTCCGCGTAGCTCCGCGTAGCTCCGCGGAGTTTGCGCTGCTATCGGCCCGCTCGTCGCGCCGAGTGCCAGCCTCAAAAGCAAGTCATAATTTGATTACCGACACGCCGCGGTGGCGACAGGTGCGCCATCAGCCTGGCCGCGGCTCGGGTCGGCTCGGGTCGGCTCGGGTCGCGGACCAGTGACTTCTCTCTCGCTCCTGGGACGGCGCGGACGGCTCCTAGCCGCGGGTGGCCGCGGGGCGGTTTGGCAACGCCTTGCGGCGGAAGTGACTGGCGCTTGTGTGACTGACTGGCTGACTGCGCCGCCGCGACGCCACCATTTTTGTGGCTGCAGGATGAACTGGGACGTGGAATCGATTGGCTGGATCTGCTTGCATCGCCTGCACAGTGCACCGACAACGTCGAGCAGGCTAGCTGGCTGGGGACGCACAAAAACGGGGCGACTTCCTCGCCGCCGGGGTCGGGGTCGTCGCGGTCGGGCCGAGCAGGGCCGAGCAGGGCCGGGCAGACGACCTCTGTCTCCGTCGCACTCAGGGAGCTCCTCGGGCCTCCTCCGGCCGCGCCCCCGCAGTCCTCGGGTTGTTTGGCGACGACCTCGCGTGATGGATGCCTGCATGGCGGGTGGTGTGTGCTTTAATAAGTCAAATGAATTCTTTTCCTTCCGTGAAAAGAAGGGGGGACTGTTTGGGAGCGCACGCAGATGATGGAGTCGCCTGGGCTCCCCCACTGGTCGCCCAGTGCTCCGCCGCTCCGCCGCTCCGCTGCTCCGCCACTGTGTTCTCTGCCTCCCCCGTGGCAGGTGCGGCCGGGGCTAATGAGTCGGGGTCCCCTGCGTTGCCGCGCGTTCCGGGCACTTCCCCTCGCCCCGTCTCCCTCGCACTCACGGGGCGCCTCGTTGGGTGCGCGAGAGACAGAACGACTCGAAGCGCGTTGTTCGGAATCGAGCTGCCGTTCCAAGCGTGCAGAAGGGAGGCGCGCAGGCGACCAAAAACACCCAAAACAGACAAAACACTGCTCGTGCTGCGGAGGCTTCGGAGCAGCACCAGCCGGCTGCGGTATTCGAACCCCGGCCCCGGCTCGGGGGTTACGTGAGCCGCAATGACGTGCTCGGTGGACACCGGCGTGGCACGGCGGCACGGCCAACCACGGCCAGGCACGGCGCCCGATGACCGAACCGCGCCAGCGGTGCAGGCCGCGGCCTCAGCTCCTTTCGCGGAGAAACGCGATTAAAAACGGCTTTAGCGCGGCTCGGCTGGGGCAGAGCGGCGCAGAGCGTTTAGCGCGGCATGTGGCTCGCGCGCTCGCGGTGCCGCAACTCCGGACGCGTCGCGTCGCCCTGACGACACACGGCGTGGCGCACCGCAGCGCTCTCGGCCGCGTGCGGTGGCCATGTGGCGGACGTCAGTCTCCTGTGTTCTCGAAAGGCCGGTCTTGTCTTCGTCCTTGGTCCTTGGTCTGCGGAGCCATTCTGTCTCTGTCCAAACTCATGGGACTCTCCCTAAGGGTGCGAGAGACCGAACGACAAACCACTCCTCCAGTGCGCTCGGCACTCGGCAGGCCCTGGTCCTAGTCTGGTGCCTTGGCTTGGTCTCAGAAAGCGCAGCAGCGGTAACTGCAGCAGCCCAGGCCTTCCAGGCCTTCCAGGCCTTCCAGGACCGGCACGGCGTTCCGCGCCAGAGCGTGGCGTGGACAGCAACTGCACCGGAACCGGAGTGGCGCGGTGCCGCGCGGTGCCGCGCGGTGCCGCGGACCGGAAGTGACGCTCCGGATGGCGCGGCCGGCAGGCAAAGCCGGGCACGCCGGGCACGCCGGGCAACGGACGCGGGCCGGGCAATGGCGGTGCCGCTGACCACGGCTGGACACGCGGGCCGGCTAGAGTCCCACAGCACACCCACGGCGAGTGCAGCGGCGGCGTGCTCGGTTCATTTCGGCGGCACTGGACGTGACGTGCCCGAACGCCGCGCGGGCCATGCGCGCCTGCCCACTGCACCCGCTGACCAGGCCTGCCGCCAAAACGCAGTCGGCGTGTCGGTACTCGAACCCGCGACAACGCGCGCCGCGCGCCGCGCCAGCCGGGCCGTGGGAAAGCGCGGACTGCTCAGAGACCGGCCTGGTTAACGTCGTTGACGTCCGGCAGCCGGCCCTGGGCAGCTCTGGGCAGCCGGGCTCTGGGTCTGTGGGGCGCCATGACTCTAGTGTGCTGAACGGCCCTCGACGCACACTCAAACCAGGAGAGGGAACTGCTTGAAAACGCCGAACGTTGGGCCTCTTGCGTTCGGTTCGGTGAGTCAGAATCAAGTCAGAGTTGATGGCCAGCGGCGTTCCGGAGACCAGCTTCAAATTTGGCGCTTTGCTTCGACCATTGGCCGCGATCCGCGATCCGCCCTAAAAAGAGCCAACTCCACCTCCACCCCTTCCTCGCGCCCTCCGTCGGACTGCCCCGAGCACCGCCTTGAAGCCGTCCAGAACGCCAGACTTGCCTCTCCTGTCCAAATATCCTTCTCCGGCCTGTTGATGGCCGAGACGATCTGCCCCGGCCGGCGCTGAGGCCCCGCGCCCCCACCTGGATACACCTGGAGGCCCCGCGGCCCCGCCCGCCGCGGCTGCCCTTGTCGCGAATCCGAATATGGCTTTCGTCGCTGTTTGTCGCACTCAAGGGGCCTTCCAGGTGGGAGAGACAGAGCGTCGAAGCGCTGTGCGGAGTCAGTCCGCTGGACTCCCCGCGGTCAGTCCGGGCGAGGGAGGGCCTTGGCCGGAGGGCCGCCGGGTCGCCGAGTCGTGGGCGGCACAGCAGGCACTGCTGTTGTCGCTCCGTCTCTCTCGCACCAAGTAGCCGCCCCATGGGTGCGAGAGAGACAGAGCAACGAACGCAGCCTTCGGAATCAGCCTGCTGGCCGCAGCCGCAGGCTGTCCCTTCGTGAATGAATAGGTCATCAAAGGCAGAAGGCACCCCGAGACCCCCGCCTGCCCCCGCCCCAGTCTTCGTGCTTCGTCTCAAGCGAGCGCTGGTACTGGGCAGCAATTCAGACTCCGGATGGGGTCAGCCCTCGGGTCAGCCTGGGTCTCTGCTTCAAACAGTGGTCGCCGTTTCAGACCTCTAGGGTGGCGTGGGTACTCCGCGGAGGTAGGCAACCCATTCGGCAGTAGCCGGCGGTGGGCTGCCTGCAGGCGCTCTTCGCCGATTGGCTTATTGAGCAGGCTGTCAAGGCCGCAGCCAATGAGAGGGCGCCCCTCGGCCCCTCGCGCACTCACACCCCTCACACCTCAGCGCCGCCAAACGTCGGTGATTCAATTTAGCCCAAGGGGTGTCGCGTCTATATATTGCCCCCGGTTCACATCGCAAGGCACCAATTGCCGTGAAATTATCGATAAAAAAATATCTGGAAAGTGGCTTTGCAAGTTCAAGCTAGGCAAGGCCCTGAAAAGAGATCCAAATAAAACAGCCACAAAGAAACTAAACTCTGTTGTTTGATTGGCACGCGCTTTACATTTGACAATTTTCCGCTGTAGCGCGGTTCATTCTCCCTCCCGCTTTGCAGGGTGTGGGCGGAGGATCCGGAACCTCAACGGGGCCACTGGTAGCGGCAGGGAAGCCACCAGGGGCGGTTGCGGTGCCGTCGCCGTCAAGTCCGTCGCCGTCGAGTCCGTCGTGGTGGAGCTCGCGGCCTCCCCGGAGTCCTCCGGACAGACGAGGCGGGGGACTGGACGGGGAATCGCTCGAAGCGCGAGCGGCGGCGGCGGCAGCGCACCCTGCCGCACGGCAACCGGGAAAGGGGCGTCACGATCGGCGTCAACGACACTGCACTGCAAGCAGCTGCAAGCTCGGAGGCGAAGAGCGAAAAGGAAGAACGCACCACCAGGAGCGCAGTTGTTTTGTCCGGGAGATGGCGCTGGGGGATGGCGTTGGACCTCCGGAACAGGAAAACCAGGTTGTGCTCGCGTTCGCCGTCCATCTCTCTCTTTGGAAGACGATTATTGCTAGGCAACCACTATAATGAGCCGAGGGTCACGTCCGCCACGTCCCATCCTCCCCTCGGCCGCGGCCGCTTCCCCGATTCGTTCAAATCTTGGCGCCAACGACAACATTGCAGTATGAGAAATTTCGCATACAGCATCCAGTTATTGGCAGCTGTGAGTGATGGCCGGCTCGTGCGAATATCGCCTGTCATCTGCTGTGCTCTTCAAAACATGAATACTTGAATAGCCCGGTTTTCTAGCAAACGCCGATCGAACTTGCATTTTGTTGCGACAGTTTCCATTCGTGTCTCTTTAAGTTTTTCCAGGGCGCGACAATGCTGCAGAGATCATGCAGATCTTTCTACAGAAGAATCTATCCTCGATTAAAGGGTGTGTGTGGAAGTTGGTTATGTACCCCTGGAATTGAACTTTATTTTAATTTTAGCTGTTGTTTCATTAAGGAATTAATTAAATTTATACCCTCATATTTTCATCATTTAGTTTCAATCTGTTTCTCCCCTCATTTTTTCCTTTTATCATTAGAGTGGATGGATCTTAACTTAGCTTGACTTAATTTTTTACACAGATGTTGGGATATCTTTGAATCCATGCTCCACCAAAGCCACCGTTCAACAAGATGTTGGAGGGGTGCAGCAGGCTCGTCGTCTCCTTGGACAGCCCACACACATGAGCCATCCCCAGCTATTGAACAAGGGGGAGGTAAAACTCTTCTGCTCTTGATCATCACAAAGTTGTGGTTCAAAAGACAGTTCTGTCTTTTGGAGCATAAGTTCTTATTTAATATCATCTGATTTTTTCTGTAACAGCTCATGCCTGGAATAACTCTGACGGAGTTCCAGGATCGAAGAAATGCATTTGTGGCATCCATTTTGAACCAAGCATCTCGAACTGACAAGGACAATCATCTGGTTGTCATACCTGCCGCACCACAAGCTTATATGTCTCAGAAAGTCCCCTATGTGTATCGACAGAATTCAGATTTTCTTTACCTCACTGGGTGTTTGGAACCAGATAGTGTTCTTGTTTTGAACATATCTCAAAGCTCTTCAAGTTACAAGGCCTCCTTATTTGTTAGAGAAAGAAATGCACACTCAGAACTGTGGGATGGACCTCGTACAGGTAAGCTTGGGCCTGAAGCTTTTCATCTTAAAATTTTCTTGTAAATCTAAATTATTATTTGTTTACAGGTGTGGATGAAGCACCAAAGTTATTTGATGTCGATGAGGCTTTACCCATTGAACAGCTGAATCAGTATTTAACAGCATATGCGAAGGAGTTCCCCAATTTTGTGTTGTGGTATGATTTTCGTCAGCCCATAGACTTGAAAGTTCATCAAATCCTCAACATGTTTGTCACAGAAACAAATAGCTCAGCTGGCCAGGTTCTAAATTTTTCTTGTAAAACTGTGAAACAATTTATACTGCTGTCATGCTAATCCAGCAGTTCATGAGCTTCACTTTCTCACTTTTCAGGCATGGATTTCTCCAAGGAAGATTGTTCATGAATTGAGAATTATCAAATCTCCTGCAGAAATAGCACTTATGCGTAAATCATGCCAAATAGCTTCAAAGTCTATTGAAACCACCATAGCGAGTTCATACCCAGGAATCTCAGAACATCAACTTTTTGCTACTGTGGACTATCACAATCGTATGAATGGTGCCGAATATCTAGCATACCTTCCTGTTGTTGCTGGTGGGGAGCGGGCCAATATTATCCACTACATAAATAATTCACAAATTGTTAAAGATGGAGAGCTGGTACTTATGGATGCGGGTATGCTGCAACATTTTTTAATTTTTTTTTTTTTTGCGTTACTCCAGCAGATTTTGTTAAACTTTGTCTCTTTTAATCCTTTTCAGGTTGTGAGTATCATAGCTATTCGAGCGATATTACTAGGACATGGCCGGTTTCTGGGCGGTTTTCTCCCAAGCAAAGGGAAGTCTATGAGGCTTTGCTCAGTGTCCAAGAGGAACTTATATCTCTCTTGTCAGCCCACATATCATTGGACTCCTTATTTTCTACAATGTGTCAGCTATTGGCAATGAGATTAAAAGAAGTTGGTCTTATTTCTAGTAAGCTCACTTCAAAGCAAGAATTAGCACAGGTTTGTGGATCAATAATGCTTGCCTGTTATTACTGTCATCAAAGTGCTGAACTCTTTTCCTCATTTTCAATTTCTATCTTTAGGCAGCTTATTCATTTTGCCCTCATCATGTGAGCCATTATTTGGGCATGGATGTCCATGACACAGAATTAATTGACAGGAGAATAAATGTACTCCCTGGTATGATTGTTACTGTAGAACCAGGTATGTAAATTACTGTCTGCCCTCTATTTCAAGTGCTCATGTGTGAGCATAATCCTATGAATGTGTTCTCCATTATGACAGGTGTGTACATAAGCAGTGACAACACATCAGTTGACCCTGCATTTCGAGGAATGGGTATTCGCATTGAAGATGACATCCTCATCACAGACAGTGGAGTAGAAAATTTAACAGCCATGTGTTCTAAGCATCCTGATGATATTGAAAATTTGATGAAGGCCAAGCCTCAGTGAAATGTTTCAACAATGTGTGATAAAGTTGTACATATGTTCCTGTACCTGATGCTGCAAAGGAGCAGGGAGATTTATAAGAAAGATTTCATAGTTTTAAAAAAATTAAATGGTATGTTTTATTTAAAAATCAGAATATTTTGATACTTCATTATTAATAACATGGCATCTTTCATGGCAGTATAAAATTTAAAAAAATATATTTTATGTGACGTAAAATACAGGACATGCATATGATGGAATATTAACAGAGAAACAGTTTTTCTGCTAGCCATTTAAAGGGTAAGGACTCGCATTTTCTTGTCCGCCATCTTCAGGGAAACAAAATTGTTCAGTTGCTTCACACGAAGACGAGACCAGACGGCAACATCGTGCAAGGCATGAATCTGAGCTGCAGCAAGTGCTGCTGCCTCTGGGTAAACCACAGTGGTGCAGCCCAATCCTGTAGGTGAAATCAATTATGTAATTTTCCATTTTTTTTAAACTTAAAAAGAGAAGATAGCAGGAAATTAATTGGGTCTTACCAGAAGGCACGTTCAGGGACGACCAAACGTCCTGAGCCACATTGTCAGACTTAACAGGAGGACAATTGATGACTGGGTAGGTGGTGTTGCCAGATAAGACTGGGCCCAAGCCATTGCTGCGACCAGCAACAGCTACAAAAACTACCTTGGCTCCACTTCCTGTCAACACAGAACCACAAATTAGAACTGACAAGTCTTTCAAAGTTAATTTGTGAGGTAGAAAAGAATTACCTTCGTATTCAGCAACAATTTTAAGTGTTTCTTCAGTGCCCTTGTGAGCTGAGGAGACACGCAACTGACAAGGAACCCCAAGGTCTTTGCAGCACTTGGCAATTTTCTTGCAGTGTTCATCATCAGAAGGAGAACCCATGAGGACAACCACCTAGAGACAGTTAATTTAACAATACAGTATTTGTATCAAGTTTCAGCTGAGATGTCAAGTGAGAGGGAAAGTTACATACCATGGAGTTTGTAGCAGGAGCAAGATGTTCTAATTGTTCAGCCACCCATTCAAAGTTGCGCTTAACTACGTCCAAGTCAGCTTGGGTGACAGTGGAAAGGTTGCGGTATACCTGCTTGTCCTTCATCAAACGCTTGTCACCAGATGGCCAAAGACGCCAAGAGTCGCTGTCAATAATGTCCGAAAGCACAATTTCGCCTGCAAAAATAATTGAAAGCTTACATCTTTGGCTATAATTTTAATGGAATGGAAATCAATTCAGACACAAGTTGATACCTTGAGTATCAACACCGAACTCGATCTTCATGTCAATGAGAGCACATCCTCTGGCTGCCCAAGCCTTCTCCAAGACCTCAAAGACAGTCAGAGTCATACGCCTCATGATGTCGACCTCATCTTGACCAATCACAAGTCCATTTAGGGTGAATTTGGCTGCAACAATTTGAGCCTCTGACCACTGGGGATCGTGGTTGGCATCATCCTAAAGTGGAGGAAAAGCAAAATGAGCAATGCTACAGAAGAAAGGTGCCTGAGCTATTCTTTACCCAGCTTCTGTGATAACAACACAAACATGAACTCTGACCTCTGAAGATCAGAGACGCTACATCAGCCATGCAACACAGCAACAAGTTTCATAACTGTACTTGGCAAATACAACTCAAAAAGGGGGAAGGCCACTGCTTATCAGTATTATCAGCCCTTAGTAGTAGACTGCCAAGAAGCTTGTTCTTTTGATTGGCCCATGGCATTGCATCACAAAAGAAGGAAAAGTCACAATATGGTCAGTATGAGAAATAACAAAAACATTACCTTGAAGAAGGTTTCCTGGCAAGGGGGATTGAAGCGGTATCCCTCCTCAACACCGGGATGCCTCTTCAGGAAAGAACCAGTAGCAAGCCTGCGTGTAACCCACTCAATGGGCACCATTTCGCATTTGCGGGCAATGAATGCGGTTTCTCCACAGGAACGGACAAATGCCGTTTTTAAACCTGAGAAAATATGAATAAAAGTTAAGCCACACAAAGAATATGGGTTATCAGAAGAAATTACAGAATTGGTGTAAAAAAAAAAAACTTACCTGCAGCGTTCAAAATTTCGAAAACCTTGGCATTAGTGCGATTGGAGATAGCGGCCTTGCCAGCAAGATTGTGGGCCTTGACACCATCACCAGCAGTGATTCTGTCCTTGCTCTGAAGCAAGGCATGTCCAGGGAAGTCAGGAAGGTCATAAACCTGCTTCGTCTTGCCCTCAATCAAGAGCTTGCCAAGCTTGTACCCCTCCACTGCAAACAGAAAGAAATTTTATTATGACAATACATAGGAGGGTGAAAGAGACTGGGTTCCTAAGCTGCATTTGTGCACACAATTGCTAGTCCTTTAGCTTCAAGCCAACTTTAGCTGAAGACAGTGAGAATATTTGAGCAATGCATGCTGTCCTGTCGTTAGCGAGAAAGAAGCGACCATTTTTGACATCAGGATTACATAATGAAGCAATTAATGGGTTTCAAGAAATCGATCAGTCCTGTCAGGCACCTAACTGGCCGTCATCAGTCACAGAAAAATTGATTTCAAATATTTGAGCAGGTCGACAAGCAGGAGAGACCCATCAACAGGTGGGTTCCCAACCATTTTGACCACTCGGCGCCAGCCCTTGGCGGAGAGGTTATATCAGGAGCGGATCCCCGTTACGTAATCTCACGGGAAGCTGAACACGAGCCGAGCCTTCGGACGGGGACGGCCAGCATGTCGTCGAGCGTGATAACAAACTCCACTTGCCTGTGGTGCCCGACATGTTGACCAGAACGACGAGCGTGCGCGTGTGCGGGTGGAGTGGATCAGATGGCTGGCTGCCGGCGAGTGTCTTCTTCGGATGGTCGCGGGCTCGCAGCTGACTTCAGTTGAGCGTCTCGTCAACTTGTTGTGTTCCTCAGTTCTCAGCTGACCCCAGACTGCGTGCGGACTGCGGACTCTCCGGCCTTCTCCGTCGCTCCCGCCTCCGGGCAGCCCTGCCGAGAGTGGCGCCCCCTCCAGCGCGCCGCTCGGATGCAGCCCTCCGCCGCCGATCGGCCAATCAGGACGCGCGGCGTTCCCGCGGTTGCGGCAACGGGACCGCACGCTGCCGCACGCCGCGCAGCACCGCGCAGCGCACGTCGCACCTCCCACGCCCCTCCCCCTCCCCTCCCCCTCCCCGCTCTGTCCCTGTCCCTGTCCCCGAGGATGCGCGGGGCGGCGCCTTGAAGGCCTAGAGGCAGGCCCTGCCGGCCCTGCCGAGGTCAAGGGTCATCAGCATCGCCATCCACCCCGAGCCGCACCATGGCCCGGCAGGCCCGGCAGGCCGCTCAGCTGTAGCTTCGCCTTGAGCTCCCCGCGAGACCCGGGAAGACGCAGGCAGCAGGCACTGCAGGCACCACGACGACGACGGCATCCGCTCCGCTCCGGAACGCGTCAGTCCGTCAGTCCATCTCCGAGCTTGGACATTATCGTGCGCTAGTTGTTGTTGGATCGGCCATCGGCCGCGCATCGGATCGTATTCAGCCGCCCGGCCTGCGCCAAGGATCACTTGAGGTACGTAGAGTCGGGGCTCTCGTGGCGCGGCCGCGCCGCCGTGCACCTGGGCACGCGGGGGAAGTCCTCGGTGGCGAGTCCGCACGCGCGGCACGCGCCTCGAAGCGCGTTTCGCGCGAGGACTTGAACTTCCACGTCAGGTTGCAAGCTGCACCGTATAGACTGTAGGGGTGAAGCACACACGCACCCCAGGGATGGAAATGGGTTGTTTGTTTCTCGCGAAGCGTGTACATCTTCTTTCCTTAGTGCTGCCCCACGCCCTGCCGCTCAAAACAGATCTGGGGAATGCCCATGGCCCCGTCCCGTTGCGTCCCCTTCCCGGGATAAGCTCCCTGTTTGCCGAAAGGGGGACTTTTGGCGAGTTGGGGAGGGCAAGCAGCGGCAAGCAGCACGCATCGCCCCGTCGCCTCTCCGCGCAACACCTTTCTCTATCAGGCCAGCCATCTCTGGATGCAGATAGCAAGGGTGTGTGGACCCGTGGGAGGGGTAGGCAGGGCGGGGCGGGGCGGGGCGGGCGGCGAACGGGGTGGAGATGGGCCAGGAGCAAGGAGGGCACTGGGGCGGCTGGTCGCTGCCGCCTCGGGCTTTGGGCTTAGGGCCTTTGGGCCTTTGGGCCACGCGTGGGACTGCGACCCTCGGCCAGAGCAGCGATAGCGTCATTCCCAATTTTCGAACATCAGGTTGCCTTGGCCGCGTTTCGCGTTCCGCCTTGGCTCCGCCGCTCCGCCTCGCGATCGGCTGTCGCCGTCCCCTGTCACTGCTGTGGCCGTTTGCTGACAAGCTGACAAGCAAACGGCCGTTGTTGCGAAAACGCCCCGACGAGGCGCGGGGGGCTGATGCAACCCGCGCCTTGAAAAGGGAAAAAACAACGAAAAAAAAAGAAATACCGGCCGCATTACGATGTTGAAATGAAAGAACGCAGGCCATCCGTACAATCCCTACGCGTATCGGCCGATTGATCTGTGCTGCCGCCATGCGGGCTGACGACGCGGAGACGCGAGGCGGCAGTGCGTGCAGTTTGGCGTCGTAATGAAGGAGCCCTGCGAAAACTCGGAGCGGCGAGCCTCGCCTGTCACTCAGCCGATTGATAAGGGCCGGAGCGTAGCGAAGCGTAGCTAGCATAAGCGTGTCGAGGGTGGCGAAAATGGAACATGCGCGGAAATGTCGCCTTCTCCTTCTGAGGGGCGGCGACGGGGGCGGCGACGGGGGCGGGCGAGGCCGCAAAGGGCACGGCTTGAGGGCACCTGTAGGGCGGGCCGGGGGCGGGGGGCGGGGGCGGAGAGCATTTGGAGGCGCGAGGCTGGGTCCGGCGACAAAAGGCAATACCGATAATAGCTACCGAGCGGTATCGAATGAGGGCGGGGCGCCAGGCCGGGCAGGCCAGCCAGGGCACCCAAGGGTCATCGTTCATCTCAGTAATAAACCGCCGCCTCCGTATCGGGATCGGATACGACGACACGGCGCGACACGGCGCGACACGGCGCGGGGAAATCGGCCGGGCCAGAGACGCGTGGTGTCGCGCGGGGCGTTCCAGAGTGTCCGGCTTTGTCGCACTTGGATTTCTCCAGGTGTGGATGAAACTGCGTTTTTTACGTGCTTCGGGGTGATGTGGGAAATCTACGCAGATTTTCTCAGCGCGAGAGAGGGGGGAGGGGGTCTAGCACGTTATTCCCCTGTAGGTAGGAAACACTATGGGGCGTGCCCCACCTCTTCCCCTTTCCCCGTGCAAGTTTCGGGTTTACGACGGGTTTACTTGCCCTGAACTCTCAGCCGAGCCCGAAAGCAGCATAACACACTATAAAGAGATTCGGCCTTTCTCGCTCCTGGAATCGAAAGCAGCGACAACAGAGTGCATTTCTCTCTCTTTTCTGTTTACCACCACAGCGTTGCAACAGTCTCACCGCTCTCTCTTTAGGTCAAAGAGCCCATATGACAATGTTTTCCACCCGAGTAAATAATAGTTACGCCATGCCCGCCATGATAAAAGAAGAAAAAAAAACAAAAACACGAGAGGCAGACAACAGGCCATCTGTTGGTCGCGCCCCTTTTCAAAAGTGGAGATGTGTACGTATGTGACGGGTGATGCCAGAAAATTGCTGCAATCATCTGTTGTTGGTTGGTCATCGCTTCTTGGGGCGCCGACTACCCGCAATCGCCCGGCAGGCCGGCAGCGCCTTCCTACGCCGCGATAAGCTGCTTTCAGCTGCTTTAAGCACTGGGCTGGCAACAAACACCTCTCTGGCTCACTGGCCGCGCGCCCATCAGTTCCTGCCCCCTTCCCACACTTTTTGTCTTCAGGAGGGACAGGGAACAGGTGGGCGTGGGACTTCCCCTGACTGCCCCTCCCTCCCTGTGCGTCTGCGCCGTCTGCGCGCGACCAGCGTAGTGACCGCGGTGCCGCTTCAATCCTACGTTTTGTTTTTGTTCCAGGAGCATGTCGGCATCAGAGGCAGTGCCCAGGGAGGAGAACTCCAGGGAAGAGGTGGCGGAGTCGCCGGGGTGCTCGCCGTCCCCGCGCGACCCCACGCGCGGCCAGACCCTCACGGGGCTGACTCACGAGTGCGGCGTGTTCGGGTGCATTGCCACCGGACAGTGGCCCACGCAGATCGACGTCGCCCAGGTCATCTGCCTCGGGCTCGTGGCTCTCCAGCACAGGTAGGCCACATCTCTCTTAGGACTTCAACAACCAGCGTGCTTCCGGGAGCGCCGCTGAGGTGGGCAACCCAACAAACTCTCCGCGGCACTTTTCTAATTCAAGTTTGATTCATGTGTGCACTCCAGAGGGCAAGAGAGTGCCGGCATCGTCACGAGTCAGGGGAACAGCACGAAGCACTTCAATGTCCACAAGGGCATGGGCATGATCTCGACGATCTTCAATGACGACGCCATGAAGAAGTTGAAGGGTAAGGACACGTCTATGACGCACGTGCAGCGTGCACGATGTCCAAACCCATGTTTGACTAATTATTGTTATTTTAACTTCCAGGAAACCTTGGAATTGGTCATACGAGGTATTCGACCTCTGCAGCTTCGGAAGAGGTCAATTGCCAGCCCTTTGTCGTCCACACAAACCACGGTGCTCTGGCTGTTGCTCATAACGGAGAGCTGGTTAATTGCGAAAAGTTGCGGCGCAAGGTACTTAGGCTTTTGTGCCAGTGGTTCTTGCTACAGTTTCGAGTCTTTAAAGTCATAATAAATAATTGATTCCCTACTTCTTTTCAGGTCCTGAGCCGAGGTGTTGGCCTTTCCACTCACTCAGACAGTGAGCTCATAACACAGGCACTGTGTCTGAGTCCCCCAGAAGGGGAGGGCGACACCCCTGACTGGCCCGCGCGTATAAAGCACCTCATGGCACTGACACCTCTTTCATACTCCCTTGTCATTATGGAGAAAGATAGAATTTATGGTGTGCGTGACCCCTATGGAAATCGTCCTTTATGTTTAGGAAAAATTGTCTCAATGGTGCAGAGCAAAGATGGCAAGTAACAAGATTTAAGTAATTTTAAAAAAAAATTTGACTACGTTTTTATGAAAATTTGTTTGAAATAACGACATTTACATCTTTTGCAGATGACAGTGATCAAGAGCCTGAGGGTTGGGTTATATCATCAGAATCCTGTGGATTTTTATCAATTGGTGCTCGTTATGTTCGAGAGGTTTTGCCTGGTGAAATTGTAGAATTGACACGCAAAGGAGTGAAGACCATTTCAATTGTAGACAGACCTGACAACAAACCTCAATCCTTCTGCATATTTGAATATGTCTACTTTGCTAGATCTGACAGCATTTTTGAAGGTGAGCAATAATGCTCCAAATACGGTGTCTTTCTTTTGTCCTTCAATGATGGTAACCTTCTTCGCTTATTTTGTCAACAGGACAAATGGTCTACTCGGTGCGGATGCAATGTGGTAGGATGCTAGCAAAAGAATCTGTGATAGATGCGGACATCGTCAGCTCGGTGCCTGAATCTGGAACAGCTGCAGCACATGGATTTGCTAGAGAAGTGAGTAATGAGATTTTAATTTATCACACTCTGTTCTCATATCCAGAAAAATATTGAAATTTTGAAAAAAAAAATTTGTTTACAGTCCGGAATTCAGTTTGCTGAAGTGCTCTGCAAAAATCGTTATGTTGGGCGCACCTTCATTCAGCCAAACACCAGATTGCGTCAGCTTGGTGTGGCTAAGAAGTTTGGTGCCATTTCAGAAAATGTCATGGGCAAGAAAATCATTTTGATTGATGATTCAATTGTCAGAGGAAACACAATTGGCCCGATCATCAAATTACTTAGAGATGCTGGAGCTAAAGAGGTTCACATTAGAGTTGCATCCCCTCCACTTAAATACCCATGTTACATGGGAATCAACATTCCAACTAGGGAAGAACTTATAGCTAATAAACTTGATCCTAAACAGTTGGCCAAATATGTTGGTAAGTGTTAATTTGAACTACATGCCTAGGCTTTGACTATTTTATCCATTAATTTTGCGGATTTGTCTTTGTCTGCAGGTGCAAATAGTCTGGCTTACTTGTCCCTCGAGGGACTCGTAAAGGCTGTTCGACATGGAATAAAAATTAAGGATGAAAGTAAAATAGGCCACTGCACAGCTTGCCTTACTGGAGAATATCCAGAAAGCATTGACTGGTAGTAAATCATTATATTTACAATGTCTGTAAATATGTAAGATATGTGTGCCTTACCTTATTACTCTAATTAATCTCACTCTACAATCATTCCAAGTATTTTAAATAGCGTGTGACTAATACAGATCAACCTTAGTACAAACTTACACTTTTATGTAATGCCAAACTGATTATTTTTAAGTTCTTCATAGAATTTCAATATGAAATTTAGTGGAATAAATAATTTAAGGAAAGAATCAAGAAAGTTGTCATGAAATTGAACCTGAAACTGTGAAACTAAATTCTTAATAACAAGGAATGGCTTCTTCCTTATGAAGCAGTACTGGGGCAAAGCTAACATAATTTAACATAGCTTAAATCAAAATTTTATGAAGGAATGTATTGCCTTAAAAAAAAGTCTGATGATAAATAAGACACAATAAGGCAGGATGTTAAGAAGTATTTTATCACAGGATAAATGCAGGTTTAGTTTCTTCTGCTATACATCTCAAGAAAGTACTTGAAGAGTCCATGGACATCAAAAGTTTGCACAGCAAAAAAAAATTAATACTTGGGCTAAACATTTTCCATGACAGACCTGTGCATCAAAACACAATCAATTTTATCAGGGTTGTTTTGCCATGTTGTGACAAGAACTTTATAATGATGTGAAAATCTGTAACTATTTATACACGAACTTCTAGATAAAAGTTATGAAACAGAAATTTTTTATTATAATAGGCTTACTTTGAGAAACATGTGTACTTACATCTACACAAAATGTATTTTGAGGATCACAAAATAAAATAAGTATCAGGATATTACTCTGTGCTACCTGGGGCAACTTCAACAATAGCCATAGGAACCATCACATTATTCTGAAAAAAAAAAAAAGATCAATATAAAAATTATAAATATTTTTGTGTAACTCTTATTGATTGTGTTCTAAACCAAACACAATCTGATACCTTAGGAAAAAGACAAGACAAAGAGGAAACATGAGTAGAACATATAGTATTTAAATATTATTGGTATGAGTGCTTACTTCTTCATCATTGTCTTCCTTTGGTTTCACAAAAATACGAGACATGACAAGTGCTTTCTGGGTTTTACTATGGTAGTTTAATGTTACAGGTGGGTTTTTCATAAACACGGGATCACCTGGAGATGCACTAGGATTCTCTTCAAAAAATACTGCGGTCCCTACAGTGTCACTCCAATTTCCCTCAAAAACCTGAAAAAAAGAAGCAGGGTTAAAATAAGGTGGTTTCAAGAGAAGAAAAAGAAGTGGTTAATCAAGTAAACAAACCTGATTTCCGAGTTGGAGAACAGGCTTCTCTGAGTCAACACCAATGATTTTAAATGGTGTATGAGGCTGCAGAAGGTCACTGTCAAGTTTTGAATCAAATTGCATGTATACTAGGATTTCCTCTTCTTCAACATCCTCATTGTCGTCATCCTCTTCATCTTCTTCATCAGATTGAACTATATCATTTGGGTTAGAGTCGGATTGAGGATTGAAGTTGAAAAAGGATCTAAGTGCTGCATTAAGAGCTGGGGTGGGTAATGATGTCTGGGTCATGGGCTGTTTAGATCCACCACAAGTGTTCTGAGCTGTAATGTGAGCAGTCATGGAAGCTCCTGAGCCATCAAGAGATTTCTTCAAACTTGCAGGATCTACATTTCCATGAGACGGTGCAAGTCTATCAACAGGAGATGCTTTGGCAAATGAAGCTATTTTGACAGCAGGCTTTTTCTTCTGTGATGAATTAAGTTTTGGACCTTCGGGGGATGGTTCCACCTTCCATGACTGCGACTTGGATGATGGAGAGGTTTTACTTAAGTTTGAGCTTCGACTAGGTTTGCAAACTGGGGAGGGTGTTTTAAATTGAAAATCGTCACTGAACGGGAGGTTTAACATGGCACTGGAAGTTGGATCAGCATGCCTTTGGGATACCCCTGTGCTTCCATCTGACCAGTTTTCCATTTTCACTTGCACTCTGTCAGAACTCATGCCATCTCTTCGGTCCGAGTTGATGTTATCCATAGTAGAAAAGGAATCTTAAAAAGAGGAATAACAGATGTTACAACAGATCAAATTTGGTGCAAACATTTATTGACAGTGCAATGACTCACTTTGAAATTTTGGTTATCAAAACCGCAAAAACTCTATTTTTCTGTGTCAAACGTAGGGCAAAATCAAGAAGTCACAGCAGATAACAGGCCAAGCACGTAGCACATGAGCCGGCGCATTAGCACGTAACCTATGCAGGTTGACAATGTCTGAATTTGTGACAAGTTGCAAGAGACGATTTGCATACAATCTTAGTTGCTTGCTATTTCTTCAATTTCTATGGCGATTCTCCACAAATCGACAGAACAGGTACGAGAAACAACATTTTACCCACAATCAACATTCCTCTCCGCCTGCTTGCTAGAGTTCGAACTTCGTCGTCCTCGGGCCTTTCCCTTTCCTCTTGTTCCTTTTCCCTTTTTGATCCTTTTGGGTCGTGAAGATCAGGTTAGGGGGTTCGGTGGATGGAACTACTTATTTGTTTGTATCGATAAAATCAGGTTTCATTCAAAATTTTTAGTTTTTCAGAATGCTTTATTTTTTCTGATGACCACATTTCAAGCACATCATGGGAACTGTCCAAGCCAAGGTAATATATTAGGAGACACATTTTCAGTTATAGATTTGTCCTTTAGGTTGAATATTTCTGCTTTTTCGTTCTTCCTCACATTGTCACTTCATTTTCAGTGCATTGCTTCAGTGTTGGTAATTAATTATTAAATACAGGCTCAGTTTAGTTATTGCTCTTTCAATTCTTACTAAAGTTTCACCAGATTCATGTCAATCAGCAATAATTTTATTTCTAAAAAGGATTGATTTTTCATGTTTTCTTTTAAAGAAGATGGTTTTGACAAGTAGAAGCTCTTTCTTAATCTAACAGCCGATTTATAAACTGTTGATTCTGTCATACGACTACAGGACTGACAAAGTCTGTCCGGTGTATAGAACACAATTCATCAACGAGGTGCACAGTTTGATTACCGACATATCCTTTGCAGGAAGCACAAAATAAGCCCGTGGATGTGGGGGCATTCAGTAACAAGGAACCTGAAAATGGTCCCAAGGATGAGAGCAGAAAAAGTCAGAGGACAAAGGTAAACACTATTTAATGTGCTAACTTTGTGTTTTTTATGTCAGCAAAAAGTAATCTGTTTTTCTTTTCAGGCCAATGTTTCTTATCCAGGTTTAAAATTGAAATCTGTAAAGGTAAGTAATTAAGAGAAACTTAATTCCCACTATCAACATTGATTGTTAATGTTTCCACCTCTTGATCAAATCTGATCAATATTAATGTTTTCAGGCTAGAGTCGACAAGGTCAATATCGAGGGACTAGGCCGCACGAAAGATGATATCATCATCAACAGTATTCAACCTCTTTTTACCGCTGGGGATTTCATGGAGGTATATTTTTTCTTTCTTCGGGATAAAGCTGTTCTAGAAATTTTGCAATGTTTGACGTGATGCTGGGTTTTGTATTTTAAACAGGTCCTCAAGCAAGCTCATGAAATTCGAGAAAGATTGGTGAGTCTAGGATGTTTCAAAAATGTGAAGATCTTCATTGACACCAGTTCAGGCAAGAAGGCTACTCCTGATGGGCTTGAGGTAGAAATGCTTGTACCTATTCATACGTATGATCTGTTGTATCAAAGCAGTTTAGAAAAATTCTTAATTTCTTTTGTCCTGTACAATTATTCCAACAGGTTACATTTCATGTTGATGAAATGACAAGGCTCACAGGTGCTGTTAACACACTATTTGGCAGCAACAATGAGGGATCTGTTGCATTAAGTTTGCGGCTTCCTAATTTAATGGGACGGGGAGAACGGATCCAAGCAGAATGTAGTTATGGCAATCGCCGCACATCTAATTATAATTTTGGATTTGTGAAACCCTTGAGAGGCCGGTCCAATGCTTTGTAAGTTTAGGAAGCCTCCTCTCGATCTCTTTTTCTATTTTCTCCTGCTTAAGGTTTTATTTATTTTGGATTTTGCTGCTTACAGCTTTACCACATCATTATTTCAACAATTTTCTGAACAGCCTGCGTCTGGTTACAAGCAGATTGATAGAGGACTTCTCTTTGATCTTGCCTTCACCTCAGCTCCATTGGTAATGCTTAGTTTCCAAATCTGTTAAAAGTGCCTGGCAAATTGCCCCTGAGCTTTGTACTATAATGTTTATTTTAGGTCCGTCATAATTTGCAATGGGAAACAGCATGGAGGGATTTGTCTGTTCTGAACCGAACAACTGCATTTGAGATCCGAGAAATGTCTGGCCCAAGTTTGAAAGGGTCCTTGCGTCATATTTTGTCAGTTGATCGCAGGGATCAATTGATCTTTCCAAGATCTGGGACCCTGTTACGTTTAACCACAGAATATGCTGGCATTGGAGGAAATGTCAACTTTTTAAAGAATGAAGCACAGTTTCAGGCAAACATTCCATTGTCAGCAGATGTGGTGAGTCCAGGCAGTCCCGCCCTGATTTTGCTTGAGAAAATATACATTTTTAGGTAAATAAAAGGGCAATTCCTTGCTCTTCAGGTTTTTCAAGCAACTCTTCATAGCGGTCTGCTGAAGCCTATCGGGAACAGCAAGCCACCAAGTCTATGTGATCATTTCTTTTTGGGTGGTCCAATCTCACTCAGAGGGTTTGAATCAAGGGGAGTAGGCCCACAAGCTGGTCGCAATGCAATTGGAGCATCTGTGAGTATATAATTCATTGGGATAATGATTTGCAATTTTCTTGAGCATGAGTTATCAAAAACTTAAATAATGTTTTAGACCTACTGGGCTGGAGGCCTTCACTTGTATTCCCCTCTGCCTTTTATAAGGCCTGGGGGCTTTGGAGATTTGTTCCGTGCTCATCTCTTCCTCAATGCTGGCAATATTGGAAATTTTGAATTCAGTGAGTATTTGTTAACTTGGGATATTCTACCCTGTGATTCTGGAATTTGTATTGTTCATTTTATTCTTTACAGCTGATGACTATAATCACAATTTGGAGGTGCTTGGACAAAATATGCGTATTGCATATGGTCTAGGCATTGCTATGAAGTTAGGTGAAATTGCACGTGTAGAATTGAATTACTGCATACCACACTCTTATCAAAGAACAGATTTCATTAACAAAGGACTTCAGTTTGGCATTGGATTTGATTTCCTCTAATTCAACTATTCAATTTCAAATGCAGCTAGTCACTTATTTGGCAATCATAGAAATCGCTATCAAAACTCTGTTGTGAATTTAGTTTTTTAATTTATGAAAATCATTCTGAAAGAATTTACCAAGTTTGGTGCCATATGTTGTTACTTCATTCTATGTAGCTCAAGTATCAGACATTGAGATGGTATTGTTAGAAATAAATTGTGAACTACTGTTATGTTTTAAGCTTATTATATAGGAGAAAGACATTCCACATTGTTCCACTTTCTTAAGACTTTATTCACAACTAGTAAAATGAAATGGGTTGCTTGAACACTTTAGCATGAGACAAAATAATTTGAAAATAATGAAGAAATTATTTTGCCTATAGCTGATCATGCCTTACAGAAATTATTGTTTTATATATAACTTACACAAATATTACCACTGGTTGAGACATAAAGTTTAGCGTCCATACGTATAAGACAGGATAAGGTGTAACAAAATTGACAGAAGACTAGTAATTTTTCATCCAAACAAAACAAAAAGAAAGATCTGATGCAATCAACTTTCCAATTTATGCAAACAAATTAAGTTAAGCAAAGGCCCAAATGGAACAAGAGACATCTTCAGAAAAGGCAAAGAAAGACTGATCACTATACACTTACATAATTACAAAATCATCATTACATAATCACTATGTACAAGAGAGGACTGGCATTAACATGATTACTTATAAACAAGAGGAACAACAAGAAGTCCCGTCCATCCACACACCCTCATGCCTTACACTCAAACTGATGGTTTGAGAAGAGATGAGACCACTACTAAGCATGACTGCCAACAAACACAGCATAGAGACCATGCAAAGTAAAAATGTAGAATGCCACGCATTCTGAAGAAAAAGTTGCTGTCAAAGATACAACATAACATTTAAGAGCATTGGGGAAGAAAAGTGAAAGGTCAAATTGTCTGGGAGAGAACCATGGTAGAATGACTATTTGAATACTAATCCAAACAAACCAACACATGCTTCCACTTTAAATTCACGAGTACAGCATTTTGATACTTCAGTCTCTAAGTTGGTTCAGGGTATGAAGACGAGGAAAGCACAGCAAAAACTCATAAATTAAGAAGAAAAAGATTACAAAAAATAACAGTTTAGTTTGGCAGTGGAAGTTTAGGTATCACTTTTCCATAACTTAATTGTTTTGTCACTTTCCAAAGCTGCTGATGCAATTATGTTCTCTGTTGGATGGCAGGTTGTGCATAAGACTGTATCTATAATTGAAAGAGAGGGGAGATATTGACATCAGTACAATTTTTCTTTAGAATGAATTATCAACAGTAATATGAGATACTTACCTGTGTGGCCTTGCAATTTTTGAACAACTTCTTTAGTCTGAAGGTTCCAAATATACACCATGTTATCTTCTGATCCAGATACAATCCACTGCAACATAAATGTTAAGATGTCAGACATTTTTCAAAAGGAGGAGGGGGAAAAAAAAAGACTAACTAGCATTGTTAAATACCTTTCCTCCAGTAACAGAGAAATTAGCAAATATGCAATATTTCTCATTTCGATGACCAGTGTATGTTTTCAAGCATTTTCCTTTTGAATAATCCCATAGTTTTAAAGTATTGTCAAGAGTAGCAGCCAAAATATACTTTCCATTTGGGGAAAATTTTACAAATGAGACAGGTGGATTATCGTCATCTATCAGTGTTTTAAGACACTGGCCAGAGGCAGTATCCCATATCCGGCTAAAGGAAAGAAGGAAATCAATGAGGACAGCCTACATAAAATAAACACCATAATTAAAAAACAAAAACAAAAAAAACCACAATTATATTCTTACCAAAGTCCATCATAACTGCTAGAGACAATCAGGGAACCATCTCTATTGAAATGTACAGCACTCACAGGGTCAGAATGTGCTGGAAGTGTCTTCAGGCATTTGCCTGTTCTAACATCCCATATCCGAACACTTTCGTCAAACTACAATGATGATAAGAAGAGATGATTAAAAACTTCTCGTAAAGCAAGGAAAACAACAAAATCAACAACAAGAAATTGCTTACTGATCCAGATACTATGAGGTTGGATTGGGGATTAAAGTTGCAGCAGAAAACATAGTTGCTGTGTCCTTTTAATGTTTTAAGACATTTCCCCTGCAAATGCAAATTAATAATATTAGTTATCAATTTGAAATCTTTTTACCAACCAATCAAGCTTCAAAGGGTTAAACTCACCGAACTAAGCTCCCAAATTTTTAAAGTTTTATCATCTGAGGCACTGACAAGTAATCTGCTATCGCTAGACCAGGCAACGTCTGAAATACCAAGCTTGTGCCCAGATATTGATTTTTCGAATTTCCCATCATATGCACCCCAAATTTTAACCAATTTATCAGCAGCTAGAGTAAATGTACAAAAATGAAGAAAACCATTAACAAACAGATTATAACTAAGAGGAAACCAGAAATCTTACGTTAGTACTTACAAGAGCTTGCCAGCCATTCACCATTAGGACTGAATTTGACTGAGGAAACTGCTTTTGTATGCCCAGCAAGGGTAAACTTCAAACTGTAGTTGGGTTTCTGAAAGGGGAAAATTAGATTAGTTAAAAAACAACCTTGAAGTGAAAGATTAAAGAAAATTAATTAGTTCCTTACAAGACTAGCACTTGATGATTTAGCAGACCCTGCAGCTGCTGATGGTGTTGGCTGTTGAGGTGGGTGGTTAGTAGCTGGCCCTAATGGAACCATTTTAGAAGAAGTTTCCTGGAATTCACACAATTAACAGCATCAAGGAAACATGAGACTTAGGGAGCAACAAATTTCAAGACACAAACAAGCGTTAGTAATCTTAATATGATCAACAACGCAGAGTGCATGTCACAGATAAACTGGAGAACAGAGAAAATTATTATTAGACAACATAATAAACTGTAACCAGTACCAGGTTACAAAAGTCCTGGCAAACAAACTTGTTATGGACAAAACTAATATGGTGAGCACGAAAAAAAGACAAACCGAATATTTTAAAACAGTAACACAAGGTTAAAAGTAAATAAATGTTTGAATAACAGAATGAAAATATACACAAACAAAGCGTGTCATATGCCGGTTAGGTTAGTATTGTGGACAAAACTGCATATACAGTGAAATGAACCGACTAACCGATTTTGAAGGTTGACAGTTACTTTAAAAAATATTTCAGGACTTCAGTTTTGAGATTAGTTTTCCACAAAACCAGGGCGCGTCGATAAAAATGAACCAGAAGAGAAAGAAACTTGCAAGCGTGAGAAGTAACAACACCGGACGTCCATTCGAATACAACAGACAACTCCAAACACAAGCTTTGGTTTTGACATGGGACTCACTTAAAGAAAGCTTCTGAAAACGTTGTACTTCGAAGAATTTGGCAGAATAATGGTGGAATGCCGAATTAATCACTGCGAAAGTGACAAGATGTGTTGATTTTTGTGTTGTCGGTGCTCATGGCCTTGTTGCGAGCTTGGGCGTCTTTCCAACCATTTCCAACAGCGCGGTGCGCGAGCAGCGCGCTCTGGCGGCAGCGCCACGAGATGAGTGGCGAGTGGCCTAGGCAATTGCACAATGTAGCGTAATTTAAGTTCTCGGAAGCTGCCTAAAACCACTGAAGCGAAATTCTTCTCAAAATAAAAATGTTGTGAACCCAATTTCCCTTATGTGTCGTTGAAAGCAGTCTCCCCGCTTAAAGTTACCCATCATGCACCTGGCGTGATGCCTCAGGTGACTCACGCAGCTTGGCGGCTGACGCTAGTAGACGCCGTGTTTAGAATCTTCTACAATGAACGTTTCTAGCACCCTAGCCCTTTCAACAAGATTTTCATAGATGCAGATATTTTTGCACAATCGTTTTGTTACACGTTGGTGCAGAAATAGACTAAAACATCTTCAAAATTGCTCAAAACATTATTTGGGTGGTGTCACGTGACCGGCCTTGACCAATCAGAGGCCGAGAAATTTCAAAGGATTTTTCGCTTCCACCTCAAACAGGCCGTTGGAGTAGCTGCGTAGCCATTGCTTGTTGTGCGAGAGAAAGATCGTTGTTTTTTTTAAAATCCGAAATCATCATGTGTAAATATAACCATCCGTCATTTCGGAGACACTAGCCGAATGCAGCATACTTCAGATCAGGGTACTGAAATACTATTTTCCCTGAATATAAAGGATATACGATGTTCTGTGAATTTTTCCCCCCGAGGACGACTCCCTAGACCCCGAAGACGGCGACCGAAGCAGGGGAAAGCTTTACTGAGTGAAATAAGGCACATTTACCTTGAAATAATGTCCACGAACAATACATTACGTGGCATGTGAGACGTAGTGTCATTTAACGGTAAAATTTTGTTTGAGGTGTTGAGTAACATCCAAAACACGAAGTGTGAAGTTTCGGAGTTCAAGTTTCGGGGCTCTGTTCCTAAGCCTGCCCGCCATGTTGAAGACCGTGGAAGTTGGGTGCTGAAAAACAATCTTTAGTAGTGGAATTCTCATTCAGATCGGGAATTTTCGTGTGTTTTTCGTGAGAAGTCCGTATGTTCACCATCTGGAAGTGTTAGTAGAGGTTTATATTGATCCTGGCCTGAGATCTGCATCATTTTCCGCTGCCTACGGGCCTTTGGCCTGACTTGCGGGCTGGCTTTCTACTGGACGGGGCTCATTTTGGCGTCTTGTGAAGGAAGGACTCATTTGATGGTTCCTGGTTAAATTCGTGAGTATAAAGTGCTCAAATGTAAAGTCGGCCTCATCTCGTAGTTTTCAAACGCCAAGTGAAGTGTTCTGCACTGCGTTACTTCAAGGCCTATTTCACTCACTCTGAAGCTTTCTCCTTGTTCAATTCTCATTTTATTATTCGTTTCCACTGTCGTGCCGTCTGTTCCCGAAATTTCGTTAAAATTTGACATTTTTTTACGCCCGGTTACTTTTCGCGGGCAAATAAACGGTTGTGATCCTCGACTGCTATAGCTTATCTGTGGTGCAATAGTTGAATTATATCATTATTTCATCCGAGCTGGTGTTGCAGTGGACGTATGATTGCTCTCTAATTGTCACTAAAACGGTTATTACTTTCTTACTAGAGAGCCTATCTCGGACGGAAACGAATGTATTTGTTTAAGTTAAGGTTAGGGCTCCTTTCCGCGTCATGCCGTGATCGGCATCCCTCGAGGCCATTTGTAAAAAACACAATCTACGCGGGTTTTGTTTTGCGTTTATAATTCTTAAGTGAAAATCATGTAAGGGTCTGTTTCGTTACTCCCTGTTTCTTATAAGTACCAAATTAGATATCTGGCCTATTGTGATCCTCCTTGATTTGATTTTCATCGTAGCTATCTGACTTTTTTTCTCTACATTTATAATTTTAATTATTGTTTTGTCATTGATTTTTTTTTTTCAAATTTTAACAGCTAATAAAAGTACTCTTGTATTGTGAGATTGCGTATCAGAATCCTTTTATTTGGTGGTAAGGTTTCATTACCCATATCCCAAGTTTAAACAGCAGCCCTATTTCTTTTCCAATCCAACTCCTTGTATACTGATTTTGTTTACAAACAAACAGGCCTAGATGCATCTGTCTGTCACTGTTGCCTAACCTCACTTGTGCCTAATTCGGAGTGCACTTTTCAGTTTGTATATTCTTTATTTCAATAAAGTTCCATTAAATCTGCGTCATGTAAATCATTTCCCCCACCCACTACTAGATTCCTGTCCCCTTTTGAAAAACTTAGCTGAAAATAGTTATACTATCCTTTAGTCACAGACCCATAGCCAAGTGTTTGGAAATAGGATTATCTTTGGATATTAGTGTATTTTGTGTAGCTGGTATTCAGTATTCATTTATTATATGAAATATGGGCCCATGAACTAATAGTTGTTACCATTTGCTTCGGTTCTATTTCGGGACAATTAGGCTTAATGTTTTAACACAGCGTTATGTTGAGTCTGTCCTTAATGTTACTGTATGTTCAATGCTCTGAAAGGAATGTTTGATTTAACTATTGCCCACAGACTATTTTTTGTGTGTTGTGACAAACATGATGATACGTCCATGCGTGATGTGTTCAATTTGTACATGTGTGTCAATATGCTACTATAGTGTCTAATGTTAAATTAATTCTTGTTTTGCAGTCTGAGACTCGTCACCACACATGATGAATGTCAGTGGTGTTGAGTTCATTTTGTGTGAACTGGAACCGTGAGGACTTAATCTTCTTACTATCTTCTTGTTAAGCAGTTCTTAAAGGTAACCATCTCATTTGATGTTTCTCTATTTTTATTTCCTTTAATTGCCATAATGAACATATTTTTGGAATTTCTAATTCATTGAATGCTACATCAAATGTACTCAGCATCATGTTCTTGCAGGGCACCAAAATGGAGGTAGACGGCATACAACACAACAATGCTGTAAGTAGACCAAATTTTATGTTTTTGTTTGTCTAAAGCTTCAATCCAATTTTGTGGGTTTCTTTTGCATGTATTGCTCTCAGCCTGATTACTGACTTCATGCAGTTGCTTATTTTTTGTTATGTTATTGTGGGGTGGAGTACTGACTAGCCTGCTAACACCTACTTCATTTCTTGCCCTCATTACAAGTTGAAGGTCCTTCAGCTATTCATATTTTAGCTCCCATCTGGTTCAGCTTGAGCATTCTCCAGCAGTTTGACTTGCTGGCAATACTGAAGGAGGAGACCTGCTCTTTCTTATTTCATGCTTCACACAGTTAACTGGAAGTGGTTCCAAATGGGTTTCTAAGACCTGACATAACTACATATTAGGGTCATTTACTCACTGTAAATTCTACTGGGTTCTTGGCTTTTGGTATCTGCATGCTGGTGTGGTCTCTTGGTTAACTACAGCTATTGTTTCTTTGCAGTCTGTCACTAAAGACAGGGAGATCAGAATCTGCACCATTGCTAAGGTAAGTGTCACATGCATGATCTGTGTGTGACTGCTTTTCTCTGACTTCCTATTTCAGCATTGGGACTGTTGCATGCACTATTTGCTTGACCATTACTGATCCATATTTGTCATTCTTTTCATCATTGATTGATTCATTTGTCAACTTCACCTGCTTTGCTTTCACTATTTTTGAACAGAAATTGCTTGAATTGTTTTCTTTGCTCATTCCAATAATTTGTGTTGTTGTAGTTTTTATGTCTTTTTGTGCCTCTGTCAGCAGGTATACTTGGTTGGTTGCACAATCGTTGTTAAAGCTCTGACATGTATTGTTTGTCTGTGGTTACTAGGAACCTGGTCCAAGGCCTGAAGTGCGGGAACCTCCCCCGAGGGAAGAACCTGACGTCGAGCCTATCAATGGGGTGGTGCAGCCCCCAGTCATACCACCGGCTCATCGCCCTGGCCGAGTCACCAATCAGCTTCAGTACCTTCACAAAGTTGTCCTCAAAGCTCTTCTTAAGCACCAATTTGCATGGCCTTTCCACCAACCAGTGGATGCCAAGAAATTAAATCTTCCAGTAAGTCTTAGGGCTATAACTTATTATTTACAAGTACATATGTGTTTGCATTCCTAATGCTCTGTTGTTTTCCTGTCCTAATTTTATTATGAATAGGATTATCACAAGATAATCAAAAGGCCCATGGATTTAGGCACTATTAAGAAGCGATTGGAGAATAACTATTACTGGAGAGGGAAGGAAGCCATTGATGACTTCACAACATTGTTTTCCAACTGCTACATTTACAACAAGCCGGGAGAGGATGTTGTGGTCATGGCACAGACTTTAGAGAAAATATTCCTCACTAAAGTGTCGGCCATGCCCCGGGACGAGGTGGAACTTGATGCCCCTGCTCCCAAGAATGCTAGGGGGAAGAAGACTTCTGCACCCCGCCCTCCTGGCTCCTGTCTGCCCACCACTCCCGGCGCGGCTCCATCTGCCGTCCCGCCCGCGCTTCCAGGCGTCGTGCCAGCTGCTGCTCCCCCGAACATGGCTCCCAAGAAACCCTTACCAGCCCCTGTTACCAGTTCAGTACCTGCCGCTCCGGCCGTCGCCAACGCGATGCACAAGAGCGTCCCCGTGGCCGCCCCTCCTGTCACCAGCACAGCCCCTCCCAGACTACCTCTCGGCACCGGCGCGCCAGCCAGCATTCCGGGCAGCACCGCCACCACCACAGTACCCACGGCCCTACCGCCCGGCACGCACAACTCGCTGCCCAAGCAGGTGGCCCCGCCTCCGACGTACCACGGCCAGCACGGCCAGCACGGCCAGCCTCCTGTCGGCAACCCTGCCATGGCGGTCGGGAGTCCTCAAGTCTTACCAGGCAAGGGTGTTGCAGCTCCACAAGTCATACCGCCGGCACAACCCGCCAAAGTGAAAAAGGGTGTTAAGAGAAAGGCTGATACAACTACTCCCACCACCACTGCACTGGATCCTATATTCTCACCTATTGACGCTAAAACTGCAAAGATCAATTCAAGAAGAGAGTCAGGTCGACAAATTAAGAAGGTAAGTGCCAGCTTTGGTCATTGGTGTTGGTTCTTGTTGCGTCCTCCGTATGGGCTAATTGTGTTGTTTTTGCTTTTGCTACCCAGCCTCAAAGAACGTCAGAAGATGGTCTGCCTTTCTCTCCTGCTTTGACACCCATGCCTCATGTTCCGGGCCAGGTATGATAGCGGTGTTTGCTGGCTTTTCATGGATGTGTAAAACAGATACATTTAGTGGGTATTTTCATGTTTCTGTGTCGTTCCAGGTTCCAATGGGAAATAAATTAAAAGAAAAAATGTCAGAAGGACTGAAAATGTGCAATGAAATTCTTAAGGAACTATTTGCCAAAAAGCATTCTGTAAGTGTTTCTCAAATTATTATTGTTGTTATTTTGGTATTAATGCTTAACATTTATTCATTATTTTTCACTTCAAAACACCTTGAGTAATATTTTCCTTTCACATATTTCACTGTTTTACAGAGTTATGCATGGCCATTTTATCAACCTGTCAATGCTGAGCTGCTTGGACTGCATGATTACCATGAAATCATTAAAAAGCCTATGGATCTTGGCACTGTGAAGGTAATTGTCTTGACCAGAATATGTTTGTGGAGTTGAGTTTCCGGACTGAGATCTATCTACTAATTAATGGAAACTTTCAGAAAAAAATGGACAGTCGGGAGTACCGAACACCAACTGAATTTGCCACTGACGTGAGATTAATCTTCAATAATTGTTATAAGTACAACCCCCCTGATCATGATGTTGTTGCCATGGCTAAAAAGCTTCAAGATGTTTTTGAATCAAGGTAAGAGAAACTTCTCAGCCTGCAATGAAAGCTTTTATTTGTCACTTGTTTCATTTTCGTATTGATTCATTGCAGATATTCTAGAATACCTGCGGAAGCCCGTGGTGCTATTAATCCCTCAATGGAAAAGTCTTCATCTAGTGAATCTGAAAGTGGGTCGGAGACTGAATCTTCAAGTGATGAAGATTCAGATTCTGAACGTAAAAGAAAAGTGCTGTTGCTTCAAGAGCAGGTAATGCATCTCTTTTTGAACTCCATGATTAAAGCTCTTGTAGTAGAACCCGCTATTATCGAATATGGATAAAAATGGGGATTTGCAGTCTGACTGCAATCTTGTATGTGTTAATTTGACCAGATTTTCTTGATTTGTCAAAATCTGGTAACTTTTAAGCAATGATGGTGACTGCAGTTACCTGATCCTGTTCATTTTTGTTTTTAGCTTCTGGCTATGCAGGAACAAATGAGAAAGCTTGTTGAAGAAACAGTCCCTAAAAAACCCAAAAAGAAAATAAAGGAGAGGAAAACTAATAAAAAGGACAAGAAAATGCATGTGATAGGTGATGTTAAAGGAATGGCAATGGGTGCTTACCCCAATGACACCATGACTGCCAGCATTGCCAATGTAGCCATGGGTGGTGGGGATGTAAAACCTCCCATGGACATGAAGCCGGTTGTGAATCGACTGCAAGGAGCTCCTTCTGTTGTCCCTCCTCCCAAAGCTCCTAAAGTGAAAGGTGCTCGTGGGACTCCAAAAGTTCCTGGAGCAAATGCTCAAGCTGCAAAGCGGCCAAAAGGGAATGCCCGCGCCAACAATTCAAAGAAGAAAGGAAATGTCCTTGCTGCCGCTGCCTTTGATTCTGAAGATGAAGACAATGCCAAACCAATGTCCTATGATGAGAAACGGCAGCTTAGTCTTGATATCAATAAGCTTCCAGGTGAGCAATCTGTACAGCACTTGTAAATTTTATTACCATTCTGCTTACACGTATGTTTTCATCTTTCCATTGTTTGTTTCAGGTGATAAGCTGGGGCGTGTAGTTCACATCATCCAATCTCGGGAACCTTCGTTGCGTGACTCCAACCCTGATGAAATAGAAATTGACTTCGAAACCCTGAAGCCTTCAACTCTTCGGGAATTAGAAGCCTATGTCGCATCATGCCTCAGGAAAAAGCCACGTAAGGCACTCAGTAAGTTTCCTTTTTAACACCAACTGTGCCCCACCAGTCTGAAAATGTAATTGAAATTTTTAACATTCATAGTTGAAATCTAATTCTTGTTAAATTAGTTTCTGCCTGTTAAAAATTAAACATATTTCACTACTTTTTATTGCATAATGTGAATATTAGTCAATATTGTCAAGGACTTATTACTGATCTCATATTGGTCAGACATACTTCTTGAATGGGAACTCGATTCCACTGTCGAGCAGACTGGCGGCTGGTTGGTGGGTTGTCTGGGCTGATTGCATGAATGATCTCGAGTGCATTTCAATTCTGGATAGTCAGCTGCCAAATTTAATTTCGTAGTTCATTTTGATCAAGTTGCAGTTTAAATGCTATAAGCAGTTACATTTTACATTGGTCTAATCTGATGGCTCTTCCTATTTTGAGTTTTTAGAGTCCTTTAACTGATCCAACTGCCAGTACTTGTCCTGATTGTGTATTTGTGTGTCTTGTTTAGGCTGGGAACAGTTTTAACTTGTAATTTATAGTTGGGACCCCATCGAAAAACATGTATTTAGGCTCTAGGTTGAACTGACAAGGATCCTATTCAGTTTCAACTGCAATTTCTGTCAAGCATTGTTTGGTGGCTATTGACTAACATGCATGCCTTTTTGCCTTGAGAATCATATGGTGAGGCACTCAGCACAATTTTCTCCCATCATATAAAAGGAAACAAGAGAAACATCTTGTTTTAAGGGCTGTCCACATAATAAGTCACATGCTGGGTAGGGGAGTCTTGGGAGATGTTTTAGGCCTTATGACACATTTTCTAAAGTATTCTCTTTTTGAGTGGATTAACATCACTCAGCCAATCACTTGTGAAATTTTCACTCGAGTAGTTAGATCTTTTTGTAAGTTCTTAATTGGAACATTTGGGGTGGAGGTTCATTCAGATGTGAAAATGTGATGAGGGAGGGGCTTGCCCTCAAAATGTGTGACATATTTAGTGCACAGCCCATTGTATTTTGCATCTCTTTGCCATTGCCTCCATTAAGTGCCTCACCATGCAGCCCAGACTCTTTTGGTGGAGGATTTCAGTTGGCCTATTCACTCACTGTTTTTTTTTTTTTTTTTTTATTAAAAAAAAAAAAGAAAACAAATGTGGGAAAATTTTCAAAAAATATTTCCAGGTTGTTAGCAGAGCTACCTTTTTTAATGTTGCAGATAAAAAAGTGTCGGGGAAATCGAAAGATGAGCAGATGGCAGAGAAGAAACAAGAGCTAGAAAAACGCCTTCAAGATGTCACTGGACAACTAGGACATCAAAAGAAGGCCATGAAAAAAGGTATTTATCAGAAGCATTTTTTAATACCCATTTCATTATTTATGTGGATATTTTATTTTTAACTCATTTTGTTATCATTTGTGTTACATTTTCTACAGAAGACAGTAAATCGGGAGATGTAGCTGGTCCATCTCGTCTATCAGCCTCCAGTTCGAGCAGTTCAGACTCAGACAGCTCTAGTTCAAGCGTCTCGAGCAGTTCATCTGATTCGAGCGACTCGGAAGCAGGTTAGCTTAGATTCAGTATTACAATTCTCTCATCACCCAACAACCGTTTCCAGAACCTTGAGAATTCCCAATGAGCGTTTTGTTTAGTTAAGGATGGTATGGGTCATTTCCTCTCCTCCTCTCCCGTCCTCCTTATCTTATCTTTTTTTTTGGTCTTATACCACTTTTCTTTATTTTGTCTTTTATGAAAGAGAAATTTTTTTTCTTTAAGTTCATTTTTAAACATTTTTTCCCCCCCTATTGTTTTGTGTGATTGGTATTTTGTGTAAATGTGTGGGATTAGTGTGCAATGTTTGTCTTTGACAAATGTAGGGGGATTCTGAGGATTCTGTACCATCGGATAGGATGGGGAGGGTTAAGTTTATTGAACTCGAGTGTAGTTCCCGACTGCTATTCGTAACCACAAGCAATACCATAAGAGCTAGATTGACCATGTTGGTTAGATTCAGAATATCTTTGTGACTAAGCCAAAAATACTGCTGAATTTTCCTTCCTTCATTTTCCCTCCTATTATTTTCCTTTGTGGTTGTGAAAGATGCTTTCAAGTGTAAGTGGTAATTTGGCTTAATAAGTCTTTGTTATCATTGGCCAAGAGTGCAGAATGTGTGATTTGGGGTCAGCCAGTCATGTCATTTCTTCCTATCCATGGAACTGTGATGCAACACATTTTTCTTACCCACAACTTTTTAATTTTTTTTTTTATGTTGTGTGTCCTGTTATGACAATTGTAGAGGAACATTAAACTTGCAGTCATACTGTTATTTGAGGTGATTGGATAATGCTGGTCAGTCAGGTGAGGAGGGAACTTCAATCCAAATCAATGAAATATTCAAGATAAACAGACAAGTGAGCGAGCAAGAGATATACCTTGCAAATTAGCGCTGCACACACATCAATACTGCAGACAATGTGAATGGTGGCTGGATTGTATGGGTGTTTGGCAAGCCAATGAGAAATGACAAGCAATTTCATTGGTTCCTTAAATCTAAAACATCATTTTCTTTTTGTTTACATTTTCATGATTGGCATGCATTTCAGAAGGTAGTAATTATTTTAAATGCCATGGTATTAGTATCCTAAATAAGTTTTTGGTTTCGCTAAACACCCTTCATGCTGCAATAATCAAGCTGTCAAAACAACTAAGCAGGGGTGATTGTGTGTGAAAGTAAAAGAATGCTGATAGACTTGCTGGCCTCCAAGCACATTGTTTGCACTCCCTGGCGTGGCGATGCCATGTTAGCTTATATGTGTACATATTTTAAAGATGGACATAATATCTTTTATTGAAGATTACTTTTACTATGATTTGTTGCAAGTTTTCTATGTTTATATAATTGGTCTCTCTCCATCATTGAAGGAGCTAGGAACCTCCCTTATCATTACCTTGTCAAACTTATTGTATACTTTAATGTAGAGACTTGATCTCTTGGGGATAATAGTTTGTTGTTTTTCTTGTTTGTTTTTGTTTTTGTTTCTTTTTTCCATTTCCCAGGAGTCTAATTATGTTGGTTTGTGCTCCCTTTACATTTGTTTGTAACAATTTGGCTACTCGAGATGAATTACTTATTTCACACAGTCTTTTATGTTTGTGGAATATGTTAATATGTTAACCCAACAAAGAAATTACTACATGTAAATATCTGTCTTTCATATTCCAATTTTACTTGAAGCACTCAATTGCAATTTTCTAAAAAGAGGAAGAAAAGTAGCCCACCAAAATATTATCATTTTATTTCACCTAAAGGTTAGAAAAAAGAGACTTTTCTCTTTTCTGTAAATATTGCAGTTACAGGAACCATTGCATTCATGATATAACCAATTCTCTGGGACTCTATGAATTGCCTTAAGTGGACCAAACTGGCTGACTCAGTGGGTGTGGATCTCTTGATGTCAAGCCTCCCTTGTTTTGACCACTTAGACTTATTTTGGCCAACGGACTAGTCTAAACCTAGAGGTTTGAGGGGTAATTTGTTTGTCATGCCAATGACAATATCAGTTTAATAGAATATATTCTAAGTCCATTGCTCGCTCACTTGTATGAATATGAAAAGATTGTGTGCAAAAAGTTTACTAGCACAAATTGACTGGAAATCTCTGATATGTTGTGATAAACATTATAACACTGCCGATTGGCATGTTGTACTGCTGCATCTGCTTCCATGGGGTCATTGGATCTCTCAGGTTTTCTCTGTGTGCACTACAGAGAAATATTCCTGATGCAAAATGATTTCCTTTCATGATAAGGCACCCCAGCATTTTTCAACATGCCTCTTTGTACATAAAAGTTATTTTATATTTGAATGTATGTGAAACTTTATACAGAAAGCATTAAGAACCTCAAAATCTTCATGCTAGTGTACATCCTTTTAACTGACTCTAGATGTAGGTTCATTCTTTACCTGTGTACATTTTTTTATTTAAAGAAAAGTTCAAACTATGAGAGAAATGAAACTTGTTGTATACAGTGATAATGATAAATTTAAACGAAATAAAAAAAATATAGAACGATTGTACTGTACATGTTTTCATTGAGTATGCTGGCTCCTGACTGACCAAATCACCAAATTCTGCACTCTGGGATGTGTGTGTGTGTGTGTGTGTGGGTGTGATTGCCTTAGCCATTATGCAGGTTTCTCAAATTGTAAAACAGTCTGATGTGTACTTTTTTTTCCTACTTCCTCTCATTCTCAAGTGATTTCCTTGTGAAATTCTCCTCGTGAATTGATTTGTCTGTTTTGTGTAGAGACCAGGTCATCAAAATTAGCTAAGTCATTTCACTTTGTTAGAGATTCTTCACTCCGCGTGTGAAGACCTTATTTTATCTCCTTGACTGTCAATTATACTGTTAAACTCGTTGTCTGTTTATCTCCGTCATAGAAATTTAGATAGGACTTGGTGGGTCAAGTTCCTTTTATGAATTGAAAGTAGAAATGCATAGATATGTGAGGTGGTGGGTTGAATGTCTGAACTAGATATCGCTTTCCTCTTATTTCTCTACCCTTTTTCTTTTTTGGATCTGTGCCCTTTAATTTTAATTAATTTTTGATAACTAATTTTTTTGGTAACTAATTACAAAACAAATGTTGTAAGACAAACGTTTTTTGTTTGTTGTTTTCTTTCAATTGAAGTTCGTTTGTGAACATTTTCCTTTTGGTTAAATTTGAATCTAATTAACTATCTGCAAATTTCATTTGAGGTGCAGGGCTTTTGTATGTTCGTTCTATAACCAGGAGGTGTAGAACCCTGTTGGTGGCTCATATAATGGTCCACTTAGGTATTCCCATTAACAGTATTAAAGCTCAAGGCTAGTTGTAAGGTGCGATTTGTACTTGTGCAAGTCCAGGGAAGACTTGTCAGTGAATTCAAACACCTCAACTACTACATTTTTTGAACCACGCACACAGCTCATACACATCTTTTCTAGAGCCCTGGTTCTTATCTTAAATAGAATTAATGATTGTTTAAGGAGTATTTCTTATATGAGGATTTAGGTGATAAGTTTTCTGAATTAAATACATCACATCTGAACACACCATCTGTTCCACTTTCAAACATCTTGTGACTTAAAGAAGTTCAATTACATTGTTAGTTTTGCGGTTGTTGGGTGTCAATATTTTGGGTGGTTACACACAAACTGAGGCTCCATATATTCAGAAGCCAAGGAAGAATCAGTATACAGATCGAGGTTTATTGATGTTGCAGGAGACTCAAAAAAACGGAAGAAGAAGAAAAGCAGCTCTGGAGGGAATGAAGAGGTGTGTCTTTGGTTTTATTGAAGTGAAATTCCTTTAATCCATGTCCTAGTTGAGGATGACTATGATCTATTCTGCTAAATCTCATCAGCAGGTACCACCAACATCAGGTCCTGTCCCCACCCTAACAATGACAACTTCTGGAACCATTGTCAACAAACCTCAGCCTCCTGTCTCAACTGCTGCAGGTGAGACAAATGCCAATTTTTGATTGTCATATTGGTTTTGAAGTTGTCAGGAAATGAAAGTTAAATTCTGCTTAACAGCTGCACCAGCTACCCCAGTAACTCAAAACAATATAACCCCTGCGGCCTCTCCTATGATACCATCTCAAGCTCAACCTCAGCAAATGATTCCAAACCAAACCCAGCTTGCACCACAACAGCAACTTTCAACCTCTGGAACTCCTCAGCACCAATACAATCTGCTCAACTCATCACAGGGGCCTCAACAACCCCATCCAATGAATAAAGGTAAGGTTTCATTGAATGTTGGTGGCCTGGACTTGGCCTTTCATGACAATGGAATGGCACGTCATCCATACTTTTGAAATATCACTGCATATAAGTTTTCATTTGGGTTTGTGTTGGTTTTGTTTGGGACCCTTTTTGTGGGTGTATGGTTAATAGCATTGAATTTGGGTGTGTCTCCAATTTCTAATTAGTGTTCATGTGCCGTTAATTTATTGTGTCGTTGTGTATGCTTTCATTTAATATCTTGGGTCTAAGGTTTGAGTGTATGGGTTCTAGATTCTTGGCAGGGCGTTGCTGTTTGTTTTCAAGATGAGCATGATCACATTTCATTAGTGTCTCCCTCATTCAAAAATCAAACTATGGTCAAAACCAAGCTGGTTTTGTAGACAAACTGCTTGATTTCTCATTCTCATCAACTCATTTTAAAAATTGATCTCATTTCTTGCATAGTTAAGTGTACCTCTGCAGTAAAAGCGAGGTGTAGGAGAAGAACTTGTGAAAGGAGTAACAAGAGGAAACCATAAATCTGGATAGGTGTCTCAATCCATAAGGAAGCCCAGGGGATTAATCGGGTTTATGTCATTCTGTGTATCCATTGGGCCTGTGCCCTGTTCTGGTTGGCCAGGCCTTGTCAGGCAGAACTCTGATGTGTGAGGTTGTCTGACACAGGCCTGCCGCCAGCAACCCACCCGCTGCCGCCTCAACCCGCTCGGCCCTCCGCTTCAGCGCAGCCTTCCAGGCGCTCATCCCAGCGCGGGCAGGGCCAGGCTGGCCAGGCGGCTGGCGGACAAGGCCCCTCAGCCCATCCTGCCCCAGCCCCCCAGGGGGCCCCAGCGCAGCCCCAAGGCGTGCTAGGGCAAACGCCCGGGCAAGCGCCGGGGCCTGCTGCGGGCCTTCCCGGCCCTCAAGGCCCCACACCTCCACAGCCTCAGGCGCCACAGCCCCAGGTGCCACAGCATCAGCAGGGCCAGCAGGGCCAGACTCAGCCTGGCAACATCTTTCAACCCGCCATAGATGCTGGTATGTGGCGCTCGTTGGCCGCCGCCGCCCAGTAGCTTCTCTTTTCTTCTTTTTTTCCCGAGGGTGGGGTTGCTCTATGGAGCTCAGGGTGTGGAGCTGCAGGCTGCAGGAATGAGAAGCCTTGGTGGAAGAGAGTGGTGGTGGCCGGCCCTACCCGTTTCAAGGCGAATTGCCATTTCTGTCAGCAAGTTTCCTTCCTCCATGTAATTGGCTTCCTCCACAAAAGGCGTCGCTTTTCACTTAATTAAGGTTATCAAGTTCATAGAGCTTGTGAAAATTAATATTTTAAACTCTTTATGTTATTCTAATTTCTTGGTCTGGAAGTTACATTGAACCTTTTTCCCAAATTTCATCTTGAACAGTGGAAGGCCTACCTTAACTTTCTCAAACTTGCTGCTTCCTTCTTATGCAAGGAAAAGTTGATGCACTCATTTGTCTTCCTTTGGTAAATCACTTTCAGTTTCATCCAAAAATTGCATTCATCATTTTTGCATTGACATATTTGTGCATTTAATTTACGTGCATGCAACCTCTCAGGATGGGCTGCTTTCTCACATTAATCTATTGTCTACGTCTGTGTGGAAAGGGACTGTAGTGTTAGTCTCTCTGACTCTGTCTCAACTCTCTTGAGTATGCTATTTAGCAACCATGTTTGAAAAGGGTCAAGTGGTGTGAATGTGGTGGTATGGTTTCTCTGCGCAGTCTGTTAAATCAGGTTCCGGTTTCACTCCTTTATTTTTACTGGAATGTATATAGTGCATACTCAATTTATTACCTTTTACCTTCATAATCCATTACATATGTTGTTTATCTCATTTTCACACAGTCTAACTGAAACTTAGTCAGGGGACAAAAGTTTTTAAAATTTCTAATTCTAATTGAAAGAAAACACTTGAGAATCATTGCTTCCTTTGGTTTATTTTATTTCTTGAGGTGTAGTGAGAGCTCATTTTGTGTAATGCTCTGCATGACACATAGGGTACCTAATACCCTTAAAAGTATGTGCATCATTGACCTTTTTATCTCTTGCTTTTCTTTGCTCCCAACATTTTAAATGGGAGCTCAAGACATAAATGGGAATTCTTAGATATGATGGGAGCCTAGATATTTTTTATGTCTTGTTGGGAACTTCATCTTTCTACTTTCTGAATATCTTAAGGAAAATATAGCCTTTGTCTCTGAAACTTATTTAAAGTAGTTTAAATCAGTTTAGTATTGCAGGAAAGTTTCAATGCATATGCAGTTTTGTATCCTAATCATCATTTTTTCAGTTAAGGATCTGAGGACACTATATCATATAGATCTCAGAAATAAACTTACTAAGGTTCCAGGAAATGATTTTCACTTTAGAAATGTTAAAACATGTTGGATATTGTTTTCTTTTGTTTTCCGTACTGGACTCAAAAGATAGGTATGTATTCTCTAACACTTCTGTGTGATAATGGCTCCCTTGTTTAGCTTGATACAAGGAGCCTAATGTCGCGATTTTTCACAACAAGAGTAGTTACATGTTCATACATCAGTTGTAAGCACTTTTTCTTTGTGGATTCTTGTTGCAAGGATTCCCTGTTACGTTTCACTTGCTCACTGCTCCATTGGTACTGAGAATTATTTTTCAATGACCTAGGTATCAATAGTGTCCTTAGTCACCATTGCTCTAGAATTCTGCATTCATTGGATTTGCAGTGAATTAGTGGTTTATGTTTGATTTCCTTTTTTCTGCCAATTTATTATGCGTAATAGCATAGGGTGCAATCAACTAACTGGCAGTGATCAATGTTAGGGGTGTTCTGCAGTGATAAGTTTAATTGGGAAGAAGTCTCCTGGGAGCTAGTGAACCGTAGCAATCCCAGCTTCAAAATGTCCACTATTTTTCTTATTCTTTGTGGCTCTCCAGTCATGAAAGCAATCAAAGATAAGACTTACATTATGAGATGCTCCAATCGTGCTTTAAGCTGAATAATGCATTTTCTTTCAAATCATTATTTTCTGTTAATTTGTGTTGTAAGGTGTTTTGCACTATTTCAAGCATAATGAAGCAAATTGTACCTTAGCACAAAACTGTATTCACTTCTAAAGCTTGTTGAAGCATGGCAAATACCCATTAATGCCTGAAAACATCTGATTATCACTACAAAAATTGTAGCATGGAAATAGCAATTTAATAATAACTCCTCAATTCAATTTAGTGAGTCAAATCTATGATTTAAAAAGTTTTTTAAAAGAATTACGTGGAAACCTCTACACAGGCACCTTTCGTTATTATATTGTCTCTCAACTTTCAGTCTTCTTGTTAGCCAGTGTTTCCAATATGTTGACATCAATTCAAACTTTCTACTCTGTTTTGTGGGACAATCTGATGGACTATGGCAAGCTTTGTTGTATCTGAATTCTGTGCTTTCTGGGATTGAGTTTCTTGTAAAGTCATTCTTTCACTTAAACAATTTCATGTGAAGAGAAGTAACATTGTGTCTCTTAATTAAAATGTCTATGCTATGGAGAAATCTCATTTTTTCCCGTATGAACTTCATGATGGGACAACATGAACAATAAAGCTAATTACAATTATGGTGACAGAAAATCTTGATAAGACACTACCTTTCATTCTTTTCATGTTTGAAAGTAATCAGTTGCTTTGGAGTAATGTATGATAAACACCATAAGTCAAGCAGAACAATTTTCCCTTTTAAAAAAAGATGAATTTTATTTTGCATCAGTAGTATTGATGAAGAAGTCTGCTACGCAATTAGTCGATGGGTTCCATTTAAACCAAAGGAATGTTCAGTGTCTCTTGTTTTGCTTATTAGCTGTTCATTGAGTTTTTATCAAATGCCATTTTTTTTTGTTATTTCATTTATTTTGTTGGGATAGTTCGAATTGAAATAGAAGTGTGTTTGTCAGACAATTTTTTTTTTAAATGCATGCCTCAATGCAGTACTTTCCTTGCAGAGCAATTCATACTTGGCAATAAGTGACAAGCTGCCATTCTGTTTACTGTGAGAGAGTAGTTGAAACTCTTGAAAGCAGCTCTTATTCCCTGCTGAGACCAAATCTCAGGAAGTCAGTGTTGTTGGAAGTTTATGACACAAAAGTTTGATTCTAATGGAAGTAACTCCTCTCAAAGCTTCTGACAGGAGAGCTGCTTAATCCATCTTGAGTCTCACTTTGTATGCAGTTCAATTTATCCTTCCTAAGACACTGAAACTGATGAGTATGTTTGCCTGTTCAGGTTGTTATACTGACATTTTGGTAATATCACTTTCTTGTGAACTGTTTCGAGTGTGCTCTTGGGAGTGACTGGAAAGAGAATTTGTTGCCCGTTGCTTCTTTACCCTTTCAGACATGGTGTGCTGTAGCATGACTAAACCTATGCTTTCTCTATCTTTCCTCTCTTCTTATTCATCTGTCTATTCTTTTGGGTGATGGTGTGAAGTCCTGTACAAATTGTGATGTTGAAACTTAGTTTGCTTGTGCTAGTCTATGTTTTAGGATGTAGTTCTCAGAGGGCAGATTCTAAAGAGTTCATTTTCAAGCATTTCCTATGAGCATTTTTATTAAATCATGTGGTGAAACCCACCATTATTTTCTTAAGAGACTTAACTGTAAAGATAAAGACATCCATACTTTTACAAATGCTCCTCGAACTGGCATTCCCACACCAGCCCTCCAAGGTCGTGTGTCGGTTCTTGGACGTTCATTGTCTCACGTCGTTGGACACTTTTCTGTTGGGATGTGTCTCAGTTGTGTAATTAATCGTAGTATGGAGTTGAGTTGTGGGCTATCAATAACTTTAAGTTGGTGTTGAAGCTTGTGGAGGTTCATGTTTGGGTTTGTGTTGACACAGGAGCGTTGCTGGGATTGAACAACGACCTTCCATCCACAAAGAGCGATCCTGAGGGGCCGCTAGCGGCAGCATTGGCGCTGTCGCACCAGTTCCAAGCCTCAGCCCCAACTACCCCGTCAAGCCTTCCCCTCCCCCACCCACACTCGCAGCTTCAGCAGCAGCAACAACAGCAACCACCCCACCCTCTGTTACCTCTCCCTGCGGCGCTCATGGGCCCCATGGCGAATGCGACGTCCCAACCGCCCGTCTCCATGATGGGACCCAACATGACGACCAGCTTAGCGAACAACCAGGCGACGAGCTTGCCGTCAAGCATGGCATCGAGTATGGGCTCGAGCATGGCGTCAAGCATGGCGTCAAGCATGGCGTCAAGCATGGCGTCCGGCATGGGCCCCATGGTCTCTCAGCCAGGACCCACCCCCACGTCCAGCGGGCACGGGGCCCACCACACGGGGCCCTCCCACAGCCACAGCCACACGGGGCCCTCCCACACTGGCACCTCGGGGGCTCTTCACCAAGCTGGTCTTCAACCCCAACCGTCGATGGGCCCTGGGATGGGTCCAGGTGGCCCCGTGGTGTCTCACCACCCTCACTCCTCGCACATGTCCATGAGCCAGGGCGGACCGGGCGCTCAGCCCCACAGTCACAGCAATGGCTACTCCCCCATGGCCATGACCTCGGCGCAGGGGGCGGGGGCAGGGGCAGGGGGCGGCGCCAAGGCGGAGCCGGCCTCACCCTTGACGAGCAACGGCAACAGCAGTACTGGCGGCCATATGGGTTCTCATGGGGGTCACCACATGCAGCCCTCAGTCTTCGACCCACCCAGCCCGGACATGAAGCGAGAGGACATGCTCCATGGGGCGCCGCCTACCATGAAGAATTCTAATGACAGTAAGCATTGTGTCCCTGTTTTGTTGTAGTGAGTGTTCATTCCTGTGACTCCCCCACATGTTTCTACTAATGGAATGACCATTATGTGTTGGGTAGTTTTGTCATTTGTATTATCAGGTGTGTTTTAAATACAGAACGAAGTGGTCGGTTTGCCCAAAGGCACTGGCATTGATTTTCGTCCATTCAGCGCTAGTTTGCAACCCACCACTCTGTTCTGTGTTTAAACAGCCACCGGGCATTAGTAGTGGTGCATGTAGATGGTGTAATTTGGGTATCCTTCATGAGGTGTTGTTTCATGTAAGTCAATTTATAATTCTTACAGGGAATAATCTAGTTTGTGTTTTCTTTTTCAGATTCCATGAATCACAACTCACTGCCATACATGGAAAGAACCACTACACCACCTGACATGTCTAACCAAAAGCCCCCAACTGCTAACTTTGCCTCAGCATTCAAAACCAAGGATATTAAGAATGCCAGTTCTTGGTCTTCCTTAGCCCAATCATCATCACCTCAATTTTCTCAAAATTCTAATCGGTCTGCAGTTGACAGTTTCCAGGCCTTCAAAAAGCAAGCCAAGAAACAGGCAGATATGGTACGTTACCCTGCTCTGTAGTTTTCTGCAAACTCCTCCTTTATATTAACGCGACTAATCTATTGCATTCCTTGCATTACAGCAACGTCATATATTGGAGCAACAAGAAATGCGAAGACAACAAAAGGAGCTAGCTGATAAGGAGCGCATCCGCCAGGAAAATGAAAGGAGACGAGGGAAAGAAGAAGAAGAAGCTCTTGAAAAGGCCCGGAAGGGTGCTGCTGAGCATATGCTCAGCCAAACACCACTTGCTAGTAATGCGCCTCCTCTGGGACTCCCAATGCCCTCCCATACTCCTCCAACACGTGTTGAGGAAGTGAAAATGAGTAATGATTCAATGAGTCTTTCCCCTGGCCCCCCTTCATTCCCTGATAATGCTGCAGCAGAAAGAGAGAGGCAACGCAAGAGGGAGCAGGAAAGGAGAAGGAGAGAAGCGGTATGCCTAACAATCATTATCATGTATCTGAACCTTGTATGTGTTTATGTGGTCTGTTTCCTCACTTTACTTTATTTTGATTTCCAGATGGCGGGGCAGATAGATATGAACAAGCAAAGTGAATTGATGGCCGCATTTGAAGAATCCCTTTAGAAAAGACTGTTAGTAGGAAATGTGAATGATGAAATGAGAAGAAACTGTTGGCTTGTTAAGTGATGTGATTTCATGAATGTGATGTGATGTTGTGATGATTTGTAACTCTTGATCACAAACACAGTTGTTATCTACTGTTTAGGAATAATCAACTATTCCACCCATAGATATACCACATATCTATGCATCTGTGAGGAAGTGTTGTTTACAGTGGTATCAAGAGTTTTCTTCTAGATATTAGACTGTGTGCACTAGTACAATGAAAATGTTGTTATAATAAGATTTATTCGCAAAAGTAAACTCAATGCAAAAGTTTATACGAACTGACATGACTAAGTTTTCCTTTAGGGAATTGTTTGTATCATTGTGTTCTATATTTTGTAAATAGTCATCATTTGATTTATAAGTTGTAGTTGTTAATCAATCCTTCCTGTCACTCTCCATCAATTTGTGTAAACAGCCTAATCCTCATTGTTAATAAAACATGGTAATAAATCTTTTTTTTTTTTTTTTTTGTTGTCTAAGGCTCTAAATTGAGGTTTATCCCTTTTTATATAATAAAATGTGAAAATGTTTTAAAAATATTTTTTATCAATTGTGTTAGGATATAATACCTAGTTCACACTTCATTGGTTCAGCAATATTTCATAGCATGTGACATGAATATTAGCGCAGACATCCGTGTTGTGCTAATTAGATACCTGTTAGCAAGAACAGAATGGTTTCCTGTTTATGTTAATATGCTAATTAGCTGAATTATGGATCTCTGCCACCATATTGCAGCCTTGTTCTCTCTGACGCACGGAAATTGTTTGAAAGTGTCTAGAAAGAAAGTATGTACACATGTTTAACATTTTTTAATTTCCATCTCTAGTTACATTCATTTGCATATACTTGTATACTTATGTTTGAACTAGATATGTTCTGTATGTTAGGGAATGTGTCGGAAATATGTTTTCTGGTGAGAATCTTGTTGTTGCGTTACTTCAGAGTTTGAAGACATTAGAATAAATATATTCCATTGAAAAAATAATAATACATCTTTTCTTAAAAAAATAAATACATAATGAAAAATGTTAAAAACTATTATTATAGTAAAATATTTGTTACTTGGTATCTTTCTACCTGAGCTTGCTCCAGGACGTGTAAGCCATGCGTATTACTAAATTTACTTGCACATTTTCACTTTTGAAAGTAAATTGAGTAATTTGTGCAATATTCTTCTTGTAATGTTTGACACTCTTGTGGTTAAATAATCCATTCTGACGAGGCTCTGCGAATTTTTGTGTATTAACATTGCATTGCCCTTTCCTCTCCTGCTTCGGCACAGAACTGATATTTTGTAACGAGACGAGAGAGCTTCCTTGCTGCTTTAGAGATGACAGGCTCGCCCCATGGTGTACCTATGGTTTTGAGTGACATGCTTTAGTATTGGTACCCACATGTATGATGTGTTTCTTGAGTCATTTGTGTTAAGCAAGCTTTGATTTCTGCTTAATGTCCTGTAAATTATGTCAAATTAAGTACAAGCTAGATGTGCTGGATATTGAAGTTGAATCTTAGTGTTTATACTGGGTTGACTCAAAGATTGCACACTTTTATGTTCTCAATCAAAATTAATTTAGTAGTTAGATGAGATATGTAGGCTGCCTCAAATTGAGATATCAACCAATTATGATGCAAGGCAGGTCTAGGATCTCTTTATTAATATTTGGAACGGCATTGCTCTTTATTTGGTTGATGCCTTGTCAGTTGATAGGAGTTTGTGGCTCTGAGTAAAATCGTTTCTTTCCTGGTCACAACTACTGTGTAATTCTTGTTTTATTGTTCTGTATAAAGAAAAACACATTGTACAATTTTTCTTTGTTTTATAGAAAGAAAATGTAAATCTAGTTTTGTATTGTAATTGTTTTTTTTGTATGAACATTTTATGTTGGCGCATTATGTGCTTATTTGGCAAGCTTTTGGCGTGCCAGAGTAAAAATCACTTTAAAAAATTATGTGCTGCTTTTTTTTTCCTTTTTATTTCAGTTGGATGTAGTTTTTTTTTACGAGAAAAAGAAATTGCTCTTTCTGAGAATTCCCCAATACAAATCCTCTCAAAACAGTTATTAAACAATCTACTTGATAAAAAGAAAATCATGACTTACTTCATTCTTCCCTCTAATTCACACTAAATTTCTCATACTTGCTGGCTGAATTTCTTATCCTTCCTATTTCTAGTTAAACTTTCAACGAAGCAACAAGTGGAAATGAAGCAGTGTACTGGACAGAATCATTTTTTTCTTGATCTTTACATGGTTCCCTTATTATAAGTGTTCATACTCAAGCTTTGTTTGATTGATTAAGTATCTTTTTTACGTTGGTTTGGAATAACTTGTTTTCTTAACCTGCAAATGTAATAAAGTGACTGATGGTGTGTGGTGTGATGACAATCAATAGCTCTGAAATTGACCAAGAATCAACGTTCACAAAATTATGACTGAGGCAAGTAGCATACGCTGGGCATTCAACACCAAAGAGTGGGATCCATCTGTGCAAGAATGGTTAATTGCTACCAGCAGCATACCATTAGAGGAAAAAGAGCGGATACAGAAGTTTGTTTTCAAGGCAGATGCTAAAGCCAGTATCGCAGGTTGTCTCATGAGTAGAAAATTTGCTCACTTGGCAACAGGTGAACCATATGATAAACTTACTTTAGTTCGTAATGAAGCTGGACGCCCCTATTTAAAATATGCTAAGCACCATTTAGATTTTAATGTATCTCATCAAGGGAATTTTACAGTTTTTGCAGGTGAAAAGGGAAATGATGTAAATGTAGGGGTAGATATTGTGAAATTCGAGAACAAGACAGGGTTTGAACTTGCAGAACTTTTCCGCCTTATGAAAAACTCATTCACAAGTGATGAGTGGAACACCATTTTAAGACCTGATTCGGAAGAAAAAAAATCTGCCATGTTTTTCAGACACTGGTGTCTGAAAGAAAGTTATGTTAAGGCAACTGGTGTTGGGATTTGTATGGACTTACAAAAAATATCTTTTAAAGTTAATACAGAAAGTCTGAGTTCAGAGAGGCCTTGTACTGACACTGTTGTTGAAATCAATAAGGTAGATAATACATCTTGGAAGTTTCATGAGTGGTTATTGGATCCAGAACATTGCGTGGCAGTGGCCCTCTCTCATAATGACCCTCTTACAACTCCTCCAGTACCTTTCACAATGCTTTCTTGGGCTGATCTAGTTCAAGAAGCGAAACCTTTGCTGCCACCAGATATGATAAACTGTGAGTTATTCATGAGAAAGAAAGAAAGTGTAAGATCCTTAGATGCTTAGGCAAATGATAACACACTTTGTAATGTGCAACCATCTTATAATTACATACACTGCATAGATCTTTGTTACAGTTATCTTGTGTAAAAACCAATGTTGAAAATATAATAATATTTTTTGATAATTGCTTATTTCTTTACATTTAACCCTACAAAGCGGCCATTTCTAAAGCTGCTTTGAGAGAAATAGGTTGCCACACTCCACCAGGCCCACTGACAAAAATGACACTTCTATCGATATAAATTTGCTGAGTACCCATTTTATAAATTTGCTTTCCTTCTCTCCATCGGTTAACTAAAGGAACAAACATTATTCCTCTTTCCTCACACCGTTTCTGAAGTAAGTCCTTGAAGCCTTGAGGAATTTGAGCAGCGGTCTTCACTGCTTCAGCCATTGCCTGCAAAAAGAAAAACGTGATTGTTAAGTACTGACAATTAGCAAAAAGTATAGAAGTGTTTTTGTGCTCCGTTTAATAAGATTGAGTACAAGATGCGATTGTACAGGAAAACAAGTACCGACCTCGTATCTCTGCTGGTGTTGCGTGGAAGTGGGTTCTTGGTAGGCAGGTTCCTGAGGCGGTGGATTTACAGACTGGCCAGGGTTTGAAACTGCTCTGTTCATGAGGTCCAGAGCCTTGCGAAAATGTTCTGCAAAAAAAAAAAAAAGGTAGACAAGAAAGGCAACAGTTTAGTATGGCAGCCACATAACAAGTGTTTTATGTTCCATTGTCTGGTAAAGCAAAAGCAGGACAACACAATACAATTACCTTTAATGACAGGCTGCTGTAATAAAACTTCTGAAAACATGGACTTCCAACCTGAATACCACTTAGAGACTTGCTCATAATCAGGGGAGTGGTTAAGCCAGACAGTGAGGACCTGCAGCCATTTTGGGAAGAAAATTTTATCAAGAAGAGAAGCTAAAGAGAGCACTGGCATCATGTCTTCCCAAACCATAACACACTTCCAATTGTCTGCAAAATGAAAAAAGTAGATTCATTGATTAGCAACATTCAGGTTTTTGTGATAAATATTTTACAGTATTTAGTAGAATTACCTAAATGTTGCTGGTGGGGATTGATGACAAGCTCAGACATCGCTAGTTGCAACTTGGGTAAGATATTTTTAATGAGGAACGCATCCATGTCTCCCTTGTCAAAAGCTTTACTCCATGGTTGCAGCATGAGGTGTGCTGAACGGTCTGATGGATGCCAATTCATTAGAGCTGAACTTAATTTGTGCCTTATTATTGGAAAAATGGTAACATGTAATCGGCGACCTATAAAAACAAAAATTAAAGGATATTTGTTTATAAATTTAAAAAACTATTTAAAAAAAAAACACAATATAACTCTACTTTTCTAGAGCAATGTCTTTAGAGCACGTAATATCCAGGACCTACCTAGTAATGGAAGCCAAGGATGAGTCCAGGTATGGATAGGTACTGTGTCTGTGAGAGGATTCCATTCTTCAACAGCAAGAGTCAGATGTGGCAGAACTTGCTGGTCTAGAATATTTTCTAATATCCACTCTGGTAGTAATGGCATCCATTCCTCCAGCAATGATATAAGTGGTATACAGTCCCGGCAATTCCATGTACTGTAAACACAAGATTCAAAATTCTCAAATTCATAAAGGCTACATAAGGGAATACAGAGAAGGTTAAAATATCGTGCTTGCCTAATAAAGGTGCGGACAATAGGCATCCATATTTCCCATACAAGACGATGGTATGGGTCCCTAATGGCAATTGAAGCACTGTAGGGAGCCGGACTGTCTCCTTCCAATATGCGTTTCCACCTTCCAAACAATGACAAAAAGCTAGTAGGCTGAAGAAAAGGATTCCAATCTTTCATTTCCTCTTGGAATAATGGCTTAAGGATATCTGGAGCCAGGTCTCCAATATCATACATTCTATAAGCCTCATAGTGATGATCCTAAAAATATAAATACATAAAAGTCTTTGAATCTCTTTCAGAGTGAAGCACTCAATTTCAACAAACATCTATTACCTGAAGCTGTTTGAATGCTTTAGAACACTGTTCAAGGTCAAGGGCTTTGTTTTCAAGCTGATCAACAATGCTTGATAGGGTTTCCAAAGCTTCTATCTGTTTTGTCTCATGCTCCATTTTCTGGCTGAGAACTTGCTCTTCCTGTTCAAGGGAAACAGTCCTATCTCTTGCAATACGGAGTTTGCGATCATTTGCAATAATGTCCTTGAAAATAAAAGATCATGAACCAGACAATGAGCTAAACAATAATTAGTTAAATTAGTTTAAGCTAAATGTCATTAATTTTTAAATTACCTGTTCGCACATATCTACGAGAAGATTAAGATTGTGCTGTAGTTCTGGAAGCGCAAAATTGGTAAACTTCTTCTCCTTGCGGGTTTCCCATTCGTCTGCAGGCCTTTGAGGACCTGATATAGCATGATAACCTGACAAGACACGTTGCTGAGGACCTGTCATGTCAATTACTTTAACTTTTGAGAGTTGGCTGTAAACAGAATCAAACAATTAAAAATTGAAACTTAGAGAAAACATTTACCAAGTGGACACTTCCTAGTGTGTTAGGAAGGATTCGATGCATGACAACTAGTTTAGAGGCTTACTTAAATTCTCTTTTGTAGACTTTTCCTCTATCCTGATCCTCCAAGACATCATCAATACTCTTGTACACGTATTTGACCTTGGCACTTTTACTCCCTTCTTTCCTCCATTGGGTTAGTTTTCCCTCCACCTTATCTGCATCATCCTCATCCTTTTCTATTTCTTTCCTCAACTCTGGGCGAAGATCGACCATCTTAGTAACTTTTTCTGGCCCATATGCACCTATAGGGAGGTAAATGCACACATTATATCTTGTGTTCAACAGATCAACAGTATGCCAAACAAAAGTAAATTCTTACCTATAGCACCGCGGCCTTTGCGCAAATGTGCTTCCACAGGTGCTGAGATTCCTTGCAAAGCTTTACCCAAACCTCTACCCGGTTGATAACCCATCTGCAAAAAAATAAAATAGTAAGCTTGTTAAAATGCAAAGAAGGTTTGAAAGGGAGCATTAGATAATACAAATTTCTTATAAACACAGGTTGTTACGTAGGATGTGTTTAAGCTCTTTGAAAGGCAATGATTTATTTAAGACATACCTGTAATAAGAGTTTTGCACCAATACCTTTGGTATGCTTTTCCCAGTTTCCAACACCTTTCGTCATTAAAGTTGTGCTTTTTTCATATTTCTTTTTTCTTAATCCAGCAATGTCACCATCAATTTCTGTAGTACTGGACTTTGAACCAAATCCTTGCCGGCCTCCATCATCGCTATCGCTGTAACAGAAAAAAAATAAATTTTAAAAAGTTAATTGGCAATCACATAGATGTGAAATAAGAAGCAATTAAACCAACCTTGAACTGCTGCCAAACCTTCTCCTAGGTTGGTCTTCGTCCTCATCTTCTTCCATCTTCTCATCATCACTCTTATTCTTTTCTTCATCTTTTTTCCCTTTTTTTCCAGCTTGTTGAACCCCACCAGCAATGAAGCTTATGGGTGCACTCGTATCAAATTTCATGCGACCTCTTGGTTTGTTTCCAAATCCTCTGTGCCCACTCGATTCCCCTTCATCACCACTGTCATCTGCCCAAATACCTGCACATTAAACAGAAAGTTACATTGTCAAAATTTTTAACACAAAGGCCACAAAATTATCAGAAATTTATTTCATTTTTATGTTGACACTCACCATATATTTGTTGGTTTTTAGATTGTTTTCTCCGGGGTCTATGGATGTTGAACTCATTTTCAAGATCGTAATCTGTTACCTCAAATTTTTCTACTTCTTCGTCAGACATTTTAAAACTCTGTGGGAAAACAACGTTAAAGAATGATTAAAAGAAGTGCCACAACGAGCTTGTAGAGGTTAGAACTTCACAGGATGGTTCAACAGACCATACAAATCACGACACAGGCATAGCGATCTTTATAACTAGATAATTTTCTTTTTCTACATAGAAAAGTTATTATCAAGTAAAACGGCAAATGCGAGATTTATTTCTTAACAAACGTCGAGCAACGTTAAACAGAAAACTTGCAAAGTACTTACATGACACGGGCAATTTAGCAGTCAATGAGGTGCCGAAGTCTAAGGTACCTGATACCTAAATTCTAAGACACAATATAATAAAAACATACGACTAGAACGTCGGAAACCCGGCAAAATACAACTAAAAAACCTTCGACAGACAGCATAAACAAATCATGTCAGCCGCCATCTTCAAGGTTCAACAACAATACCAACCTTATACGTGACAGACGTTTTCGCTGCCAACCAAAATACACATTCCCAACTTAGTGAAAATTTGGTACTCATGAGACGCTCTGGCCCATTTCACGTTCAAGTTCACGCCCTGGCACACCGCAGCATCGCGGAGCGGAGCTACGAGTTGTTGTCCAGCCGGCCAGTCCAGACTACGGACCTCGGTCCGGTGTTGCAGGGATTTCAGGGAAGTGCCGAGGGAAGGGCCTGCTGGCTGCTGCGTGGCTAGAGAGAGAGAGAGCCTGGCGCCTGGCGTCCGTTTCGCCTAGCTCTATTGCTCAAAGAGCGCTACCTTCCACGTTCTGTAACGGAGACTGGAGAAAACTGGAGAGACAAGAAACATCGTGGTGCCAAGGAAACAGATGACGCCTGACTCCCACTGCCTAGTATGTACTAAAGTAAGCACCGCCAGGGAAGGGAAGTCCACAGGACTCCACGCGGCTCATCCCCGGCTCCTGACACTCTGCTGGATACTGAAATTGAAGTTGCCGTTTCGACGAGACGGAAAATGTCATTTTGACCTATTATGACTGCTGGCCCTCCACCGGCCGGCAGGTCCTGGAGTGGGAGTGGGGAGCCCTCGTAGGTCCACAGGCCCCGCAGGGTAGCAACGTAGCAACCAGCAACGTCCCAACGTCCTTGAAGCAGCTTCCGCAGTGGCCGCAGCGAGCTGCTCTCGCTCTCTCCCTCCCTCTCTCCCTCCCTCTCTCCCTCCCTCTCTCCCTCCCTCTCTCCCTCCCTCTCTCCCTCCCTCTCTCCCTCCCTCTCTCCCTCCCTCTCTCCCTCCCTCTCTCCTTTTACCGCTCCCACGCCCCGCGCCCGCCACGGCACTGGCTGGGCTGGGCGCAGCTTGGCGCCTCGAGATAAAGAGGAAAACCCGCGGCCGTTTCTGACGCGGCCTGCCCATTCCATCCGTCGGCGTCCGTCCGTCCGTCGGCGAGCTGCGCTACGATTGAACCTCACGCCGCACCGCCATCGCTCTGCCAGCCGCCAGCCAAACCAGCCAACGCCGTCAGTCCGTTCCGATCTGTCGAGCCGCCGCCAGACACGCCGTGCCGCCGTGCGAGCAAGATACCGAAAAGACCGACCACGCCGGCGTGAGTGCAAAAGTGTCATAGGCGGATCCCCAGCCGAGCAGCCTGTCTATCTACACCACACCCAGCCGCAAGTCATCTTGCTCGGGTACGGAAGGATTATTGTTGAGGGTTTGACCGTGCGTCCTGGGCCCTTTCAAAAGCTCGTTCGAAGGCTAGCCCACTGCAAGGCGAACGCGGCGAACGTCGCCTCATCGCGTGGAGCCACGACGTGACGTCACATGTGTAAACAAACTGTAGCTGAAGTTAGCTGTGGCATGTCGCAACGACGCGTGAATGTGACGATAGGTACAATGACGGTGCTGTCCTCAGGGTCCTTAGCTTGTGTTGACGTTGACGGCCGCCAAGGCCACGCCCTGCCTGTGCCGACGGCACACGGGTAGAATTCGGCAATTCCCCGAGACACCCCTCCGCTCGCACCTCTTGCACCTGCAGCTTGCGCGCGTCAGGGAACATCATTTCCAAGCCGTTTCGGCCCCGCGTGGCCGCGTCTAGCCGCGTCCGGGCCGCCCCCGCCGTGTCGTCGGGCAGGTGCCGCAGGTGCCCGACTGCCGAACGCCTTCACAGTGGATCACACGATTCAATCGATCTCCTTGGCGGCTCGCCGCAAGCCAGAGCGCCAAAGCCTTTGCGTGACGCGGGGCGTCGCGTTCAATGGGAGCGAGGAGTGAAAAGGGGGGGGGGGGGGGGCTCTGGAGTGGCCGTCAGCCGTGAGGCCGAGGTTGGCGAGTACGGCGTCAAAGTCAAGCGGCGTGCGGTAGGTCCGGCCGCGCCAGTCGGACGTACAGTCAGCGTCAGTGGTAGTGCTTCTATCAATTTACACGCTCTTCGAACCGAACGCAAAGTGCGCGCCGTCATGTCAGTATTACGCAGAAAATGGAAAACTTCAGACTTCAGGCAACGAGCAAATAAAGGTCCAGGACGGGAAGATTCCGTGCATTTTAATACAGGGGCGCGTGTTGCGGGTTTGCCCACCATCGGGCGCGTTTTGTAGACGTGAGGTGTGTCGAACGTCCACCAGACCAGGGAACACGCTAGAGTTACATCCGATTGCGTTCATGTTGCAGCACCCAGTATTCCGGCGACGACCCTTATCATCATGAGCACCAAGGTACGTACCTACGTGAGAGCGAGCACACGCGGTGCTGATTATCATCGCGCGCGCGCGGCTCCACTTAGAGGCTTTTGGCCTTCGGGTATACACTGTATACAGTGCAACTCACCTGAGTGCTACCGTTTCCACAGCGCAACAAGTTGCTCCTGGGCCTGGGGGCGGCGGCCGTGGCGGCGGGGGCGGCCATGTGGCTGTCCGGCGGCCCCAAGAATTGCCCCAAGATGCAGAAGCAGCAGGGCCAGCTTGGACAGCTCGCCGCGGTCCGGCCGGGCGCCGGCCCCATCACGCTGGTGGACCGGAAGGTGGCCGTGCCGCTGCAGCTGGTGGAGAGGCACTCCCTGACGCACGACACGGACCGATTCCGCTTCGCCCTGCCCTCGCCGGACCACATCGTGGGTGAGGAGGACAACCGAAGACAACGCCCTGTCTCTTTCGCACCTCACAGAGCGAACAAACGATCCGTCACTGTCTCATATCCGTCATTTTGGCAGGACTGCCGACGGGCCAGCATGTGCACCTCCAGACTTCTCCAGACAAGAACGGCAAGAAGCTGGTGAGGGTGTACACGCCCGTGTCGTCCGACGCGGATAAAGGCATCATGGACGTCGTGATCAAGGTGAGTCTTCCCCCGGGAGCGTGCCCTAGAGCGGATCGGGATGAGGGGGACTTGGGGTAACCCCACCCCCACGGCCCCACCCCCTGCCGTTTGCACAACTTTTCCCCTGTAAATAGGCCAAAAGTGCTACTTTGCCCCTCCCTCCCCGAAGGTCATATGGAAAGCCATAAGATGCATATGACCTTAACCTCCCCATCTCCCTAGGCCATGTGGACCATATGATCTTACCTGTAGTACGCCCCTCTTCAAGTGACCCTCTGACCCCCTCTGCTCCGCTGTTCCCAGCTGTACCGGCCGAACGAGGCCTTCCCCGACGGCGGCAAGATGAGCAAGGTGCTGGACGCCCTCAAGCCGGGCGACACCATGGACGTCCGCGGGCCGACGGGCCGCTTTTTCTACCAGGGCAACGGCAGGCTCGGCTTCAAGACGGAGAAGTGGATGACCGAGCCGGACAAGTTCCACGACGTCAAGAAGATCGTCATGATCGCAGGTGCGGACCCGGGGAGAAGGGAGGGGGGGGGGGGGTAACCGGACAATTGAGCAGCCGCCTGAAAGGTAGGCAAAGAGCCACAACTTGTCCCAGTAGTTGCCAAAAATGGTACTTTGCTTTTTCCTAAGGCGCCGGCTCCAGTCCCGCCACTGCCACGGCGCCACGGCCCGCTGCGCGCGGCTGCGCGTGGCTGCACGCCCTCGCGACGTGGTGACGTGGGTGGCGACCCTCTCGGTACCGCCTGCTGGAAGAACCCTTTTCTTTTCCAGGTGGCTCCGGCGTGACGCCGATGCTGCAGCTCATCAAGCACGTCCTGGCCGACCCCGCGGACGGCACGCAGCTGGAGCTGCTGTTCGCCAACAAGTCGGAGGAGGACATCATGCTGCGGGACCAGCTGGAAGAGCTCGCTGCCAAGCACCCCAAGCAGCTCAAGATCTGGTACACCGTCGACAAGGCACCCGCCGGTAAGCATATCGGTGACTTCCGCTACGCACCAGCAAGGGTGGATCAAAAAGTGTTGTCTTACCGTCCGTGCCCTTTCTCATTTTCAGGCTGGAAGTACAGCGAAGGGTTCATCAGCGCGGACATGATCAAGGACCACCTGTCACCGCCAGCCGAGGACACCTTCGTGTTCATCTGCGGTCCGAAGCCCATGATCAAGCACGCGTGCATGCCCTCCCTCGCCAACCTGGGCTACCCGAAGGAACGCATCCACGTTTTCTGAAGACATTTCTTATTCAATGCCTCGTGCGCCTCGTGCGCCTCGTGCTCGTCATTCGTCACTGTTAACTTATGCATCGTCGCCCGTCTGTGATACTTTTTTTTATGAGGCAGGCCTCTTACATTGTTTTAATAATAAATAATAATTCCTCAATTGTCTTCGTCTTCTTATTTCTGACCATCCTCATCAGAAGAACAGGACGAAGCAGAAACGTCCCATACGGTATTATAGCAGGGTTACCGATATTCAGAACGCACCTATTGACTGTTGCTTTCACTTTACCGCCTAAATCAGGCGTAAGTTAAGAGACTCTCACTTCCGTTTCCACAGAACCTTCAGTTGTCTAGCACGTTGAGATAGTGTAACCTGGCCTTAGCTGGGAGGCGTTCGCGTCTGCTTTGACGGCCGCGTGCAAGGGTTTAATTTTTAATTGGCTGCCGTAAAGAACTCTCGAAACCATTCAGGGGCCAGAAGAAAGACTGGGCGCAACCCCTTGCATTCAACCCCCGACGAGTCAAGGCGTTTTTAGCGCGATATGGTGCAATAGAGGCAGTGAGTAGCAGACGATGCGCCATTGTAAACAAAAACAGTAATGTTGCTCAGCCTCAGTTGAGTCGGGTCGGGCGTCGTTAGGTACGCGTTGTTCGCTACTCACACCGGTCGTGGTTTCGCAGCCAGGGCCGCTCCGCTGGTCCCAAAATCATTCGAAACGGAGTCGCGTGACTTAACTTTTGCGCGTCTAATGGTAGTTCAGTCCGAGCACCTCGTTGTCGGAATCGCAGAAACGGATTTTCGCAAGTACCACGCTCCCAGTATAGGTTAGGATGACTTTATCAATTTAGAAGCAGGTTAAAAAGTCATGAAGAGGCTATTGTTGTCGTTCGAATCGTGTTGTATTGAATGTAGTGTGTAGAAACATTCCAAGTTTGTGATGATACGAAAGGGATTTGCATTGCGTCATTCGTAGCCCTCTGCACTGTAGGGCCTATATTGCCTCTCGGGTTTCTTTGTTGTCCTCGACCGTCTGGGTTAGAAATGGCTTTGTTCTCGTTGATTTTATTTGTATATTTTTAACGCCGACACTTAACATAAGTTTTCATGTTCAGAAGTATTTTAACTTTCAATGTGCTGCTCTAGTAAAACAAGTTTTGCAACTCACTCATTCTTTTTTCCAACTACCCCTTTTCATTCCTTGTGAGTATTTAAGTGTTTATTAATGGCTTTTGGTCTCTGTGCAGGTTAAAATGGCAGAGGGTGACGATGACAAGGAGGCAGATGTCACAAAACATCTGAAAAGGCCTCCGGACTATGTACCACTCAAACTTATCATCAAGAGGAAACGACCAGATGCTGAAACTCCTTCAAAACCAACTTCTGTTCCAAAGGTTAAAAAGCACAAGAGAAGCAAAGTGAAGAGTAATAAAAATATCAATAATATCAAATTGCCCTCAAAATACGCTGGTCTCACCGAGTTAGCAAAAGCCTTTGAAAAAGAACAGGTTTGTTATGATTGCTATATGGTCGTCATCATTTTTCTTCGTCTTGGAGTAAAACCCAAGCTCTTTCACATGTTTGGTTATTTCTTTCAGCCAAAATGTCTTCAAGAAGTGTGGCACAGTAGTTACCAAAGGTGGTTAGAGGAGGAGGAGGAGGAGGATAAGGAAGTGGCCGAAAGAGATGAGGAAGACGCTGAAGCTATCAAGAAGAGGTCTTATAACCGTTTCATCTCCTCTGGGATGTGTGACTTTGGTGCTGAATGTGAAATGCCTTGGCTGCACCCAACGATTAATGTAATCTCTTCAGAAACCTGTAAACAAAAGGTACATTCTTAGAACGGTGTAGTTTTCTGGTTGACCCAGTCTCATGTCTCTTCTTTCAATGTATTATTTTTATATTCTAGGAAGTAGCTGTTGTTACTGAGAACAGTCAAATTTCTGAAAGCAGGAATGATTGTGAAAGCAGAGAAAAAGATTTGGAAGTTGATGGTGTTCGTTTTGTTGATTGGCGTTATGGTGCAGCTAAATTCTGGTATGATACTTTTCCAGAAGGTTGTAAAAACTTTATGTGTGGATTCAAGTTGCAGGAAGAGGTAATGAATTTGTTATGTTACCCTAAATGAGATGCTAATTTTTGTGTGTTATTGTTAATCTCAAATTTGTCTTGACTATCAGGTGGCTGATTGTGGAAAAAAAGAAAATGTATTTGCAGATGATGCGTACCTTATGGTGTCTCAAATCCATTGGGAGGATGATGTAATTTGGAATGGGGCTGATGTTAAACCAGAGGTAGTAATTACCCTCAGCTTAAGGAACCACAACAGTTCCACTCTTTAAAAAATTATCATTCCTAATATGATCAACAAATGTATTAATAATAATTCTTTCCATGCAGGTTGCAAAATCGATCAAATCTAAGTGGTTTTCTGTTGGAGGAAAAGAATCGGTGGGTAATTGTTATCTGGCAGAGAGAAGTTTTGGCTTACATCCCAGATTACCTCAGTATTTGCAAGCACGGGGCCGAAGTTTTTACACTCATCCAGTGTGAGTCAGCTTCACTTTTTACTTAATGATAATTATTGTTCGACTTGAATAGCGATTCTTAAACAAGAAAACTTGTTGGTTAAAAAATTAAGTTTTTGAATTTTTGTTACAGTATTTTCAAAACTCCTTATAGTCTGCCAGTCCATTCATTTAAGCCAAGAAGTGAAGAGGACTCATGCAAGCCAATCCTTCCATATGAAAATGAAGATTTAGTTGGTGGTTTGTGGGAAAAAGAGGTAAAAATAATTAAAACTTCAAACAGTTACAGAAATAGCTTCGTACAGTTTTCAGTTAACTGATACCTGTAGTTAAAACCCAAATCCTTTTTCATTTTTTCAGATTATTTGGGATGCTGAAAATATGCCAGAAATTCCTAAACATAAAATAACTACAATAGACCCTAGTGATGAGAATTTCATTCTAGGAATTCCGGAGGATGTTGGTCACCTTGACTCTGAATGGTCTACTCCAGATTGTGTTAAGCTTTCACATCCCTATGACAAATGTACCAAAATTGTAGTAGGGAAAACTGGCATTAGTAATATAACAGATGAGGGACCACTAGAGCACTTTTCATTTGAAGATCCATTCAATGTATCAAATGACAGGTAACATTGAATAAGATTTCATGGAAAACATTTTCATATGTTGATGCTACTTTGTCAACGATAAAATTTTTATATTTTTTGTTTGGAGCAGCTATTATGCCTTGAAGTCATCTGAAACGTCAATGAGGCTTAAACCAGTTGGAAAGGTTATCCAGCATTCAATACCTGTTTTGGACTTGCGGACTCCTTTTATACCTACCAATTTAGGTACTCTGCGACTTCAAAATTTCCATCGGCCTGCTTTAAAAAAGTATTCTCATGGTCTTCTTGCTCAGTATGTCTATCATCCTGTGTACTCATTAACTAGGGAAATCTGTTTGAAAGCCAAGGTAAGGTTTTAACTTTTTAAGTACCATACTTGCCTTTAATTTTAGATTTTCTTTTGTTTCTTATGTGGTTTTAATTTTAAAAATTTGGTTGGGACTTTAGCAAAGAGAAGAAGAACGCCAGGCTTCAGGTGGCGGAGACTTTTATTTTATGCGAGAACCAGAAGACCTGTCAGGCAGAGATGGCGAGATTGTTCTTGTAGAATTTAGTGAAGAGAACCCACTGCTCATGAACGAAGTAAGCACATGGTCTTGATTATTCTGAATGCGTTTGTTCCTGTCAGTTTCTTTCTACAGCTGTGTTAAATTTTTCTCTCAGGTTGGCATGTGCTCCAAAATTATCAACTACTACAAACGTAAGGCCAGCAAAGATCATGGACCCCCTGAACTCAAATATGGGGAAGTCGTCTACCCGCATACCTCTCCCTTTTTGGGCACTCTTTCACAAGGACAATGTATTCAGGCTGTTGAGAATAATTTGTACCGGTGTCCAATTTTTGAACATAAAATTAAAGATACCGATTTCCTAGTCATAAGAAATAGGCACAGCTTGTCAATCCGTGAAATTGATGCTTTATTTGCTGCCGGCCAGCAATGTCCTTTGTATGAAGTCCCTGCACCTCATTCCAGATGTGCCACTAACTTTTCAAGGGACTTTCTCCAGGTATTTTTCCCTTTGTCTCCCCTGCTTATGGCTTATTGTTTATTGCCTTCAGAAAAATTTAATTTTCATATGCCTATACTTGCAGGTTACTATATTTAGAATGTTTCTAAACTGCCCAGACCAACCTCCATGGGTACGAATGGATGAAATTAAGAAAGCATTTCCCCTTATTAATGATTTGAATATAAGGAAATGCTTGAAACTCTGTTCTGATTTCAAGAGAGTGGATGGTGAGCTTATCTTGCTTTGAAATGTTATTCAAAGGGTAAAAGTCATTTTTGAAATTAATGTTTGTCATGGCATGTTATTTGTTTGAAGCTTTGGACTCAAGCTGCTGGGTGTTAAGACCGGACTTTCGTCTTCCTTCTGAGGAAGAAATGAGAAGTATGGTGACCCCAGAGCAGTGTTGTGCTCAATTCAGTATGCTGGCTGCTGAACAACGCCTCAAGGTAAAACCTCTTGTCCGAACCAAAAATTTACTCGTTCTTTCATACCACAGGTTAACAACACCAATCATTGGTTATTTCATTTCAGGATGCTGGATATGGGGGAAATTTCCTTTTTGTTCCTCCTGATGAAGATGAAGATGACGACGATGAAGAGGGAATTAAGTTGAAAATAGATGATGAGGTCAAGGCTGCTCCATGGAATTTAACTCGTGGTTTTATTCAATCTTTGAATGGCAAATGTTTGTTGGATTTGACTGGCCCTGCAGACCCAACAGGTTGTGGTGAAGGTTTCTCTTACCTAACTCGACCCAATAGACCTAAGGTGAGTATTTTATGTTTTACTTTATCAAATTTGTCATGCTTTTGATAAGCTTAACTCCATTGTGGTATACTTATTTGGGTAATTGACTCTTGATTTGCATTGCAGAAGCAAATGGTCACTCAGGATACTGATCATCACATTGAGAAGCCAACTGTGGCAAGTGCAAAGGTTCTGCTGAAGAAAATGGGTGTTCCAGATAAAGAGGTGTGTAGTGTGTGTGTGTTACAACTATCATTACTCACCAAAATATTTACCAAACTCACCATTAGAAGTTTAATTTTGTTGGTTTAATGGTGCATCATCAAAACTTTCAACCAATTTTTTAAATATACATATCATGGCATTCATTAGATATTAAAATTAACCTTATGTTTGTAATCTTGATGGTTTTCTTTGTTAGGTGAAAAGTTTGTCAACTTGGGAACTTCTTGAAATTGCACGCACAATTTCAAAGAAAAAAATGAAAGGCAGAGGCAAGTTTAAGATCCCTAAACCTAAACCGATGACAACAGTTCAGCATGTTGCCAAGTAAGTAAAGAAACTATTAACATAAAACCCCCTTATATGGGAGTTCCTGTTGCTCTATCTTATTATGTTTTATCTCACCATCTCTTATCCTTTCAGGTACAGAGAAGAGTGTCAAAGATTATTTGATCTTCAAAATCAGGTTCTTCAGTCTGTTGAGGAATTGTCTACAGATGAAGAGGAACTGTCAGATGATGATGAAGAAGATGTAGAAGAAATGGGAAAGATTGTAGAAAAACTCATATCAAATGGGAGAAGTTACAACGAGGTCAGAAAGCAACTGAATTGGCTCATATTTGTGAAACTTAAGTAGTTTGTTAATCACTGCTTTTTTCCTTGCAGGTTTGTACTGAACGAGAAGAAAGAGAAAGAGAAGAGCTTGTCAAAATGATGATGGAGGATAATGCTCAAAAGCAGAGCCAGTTGAAAGACAAACACAAAAAGCAAGATAAGAAGCAAATTCACAATGGACCTCGGCCTGGTAATTGTGACATCTTAAATTACCATCATGTGTTGTTTAACTTCCAACAGTCATTACTTCAAATTTTGAATTGTTTCCTCCAGATCGAGTCCTCAAAATTAACAGGACATTCCGTGATTCTAATGGCAAAGAATACACAAGGGTTGAATTTGTCCGTAAAAGCTCAGTGATTGACATTTATCTGAAGATTCGTGGTACCAAAGATGAGGCTTTTATCAGTCAGTTTGCTGCGCTTGAAAGTGCTGAAAAGCAAAAGATACTGAAAGAGAAACGGGAAATTGAAAGACAGCTACTACGTCTGAAACAGCAAGAAAGTAAACTGAGTACGTAATTACTGCTGCCTCCTGTTGTGTTTTTAAAGTTTTAAAGCATAAATTGGAATTACATTTAAATTAAATTAAGCATGAATTATTTTAAATATTAAGTGTTTCTATTTTATTGTTCTTCTCACTTAGGTTCTAAACAAGATTCATCCTCTACTTCCTCGGAGACCATTTCTAACAATAGGCTCACAGAGGAATATGGCACACTTGGTGATAGAAATAATTCACTGCAGAGCCATTCTAAAGGTCTCATGGGTCCTCCAAGTAGGAAAGTTTTGAATTCTAAATTGGATGCCAAACGAAGATGTGGAGCTTGTGGAAATGTAAGTATCCATGCTATGAATGGTTGCTTTTTATTTGAGCTGCGGAACTGAGCCTTAAATTTTTCTTCTCCCATAGCCTGGGCATAAACGAGGCAACAAAGTTTGCCCTCAATATTGTGGACCAGTGAATGTGGCCATGACTGAAGAAGAGGAGGAGGAGTACCAAAGGCAGATGAATGTTGATGATCAGAATCTTGTGAATGTGGATGGCACCAAACTAAAGCTTAGTGTGAAACTAATCAAGGTACCCACACAACTTAAGATGTATTTTATAAAGTAATTTTCTTCCTAGGCTTCTTTCTAAAGTCCCAATTTCGTTTTTTAGAGAGCTGAAGAAATGAAGAAAAAGACTCTTGTGTTGCGAGTACCAAAAGACATTGTGCGCAAGCGCAAGCGACCTGTGGCTGACACGCACTGTGACTATCTAGAAAATAAATTTCAGAGGACAACAAACCGGCGAAGAGTTGATCCATTGGTCGTCTTATCAAACGCTTTTGAACTTATCCTAAATGAGATAAGGGACTTGCCAGACAGTGATCCTTTCCATTTCCCTGTGAACACTAAGGTGAGATTGTTGAATCCATTTGTGTTGGTAAAGTTTCTTTTAAGCCTTTTCATGTTTGTACTTTGTTTTATTGCAGACCTATCCTCACTATACAACGTTTGTGTCCAGACCAATGGATTTGCAAACTATTAGAGGAAATCTTCGTAAAAGAAAATATCAGAGTAGGAAAGACTTTTTAGAAGATGTACACCAGATAGTTCACAATTCATCCGTGTTTAATGGTAAGCCCTTGATGAAATTTCATGTACTTTGTCTCTCCTATATAAGTTATTTAAAGTAATTAATTTCTATTCATTGAAATGGCAGGTGCAGAGAGCCCATTTACGATCAATGCAACTAAAATGCTGGACTTATGTGTGAAGAGGATGGGTGAGCAGGAGGAAGAGTTAATTCGCCTTGAAGAGACTATCAATCCATTGGATGATGAAAATTATCACAGGAGTACACCTCAAAGAACTCCAATGACTCCTGCAAGAGACACTATGGACTCTGAAACAATACCAAAATCTATTCTGGATCTTACTATCAGTGATACTGAAGATGAAGGCGAACCTGAGGCCAGCTATTTAGATGGTAGGGCATGTCCTGTAGTGCCATAGCTGCTGTGATGCTTTTTTCCCCCCCATGTACTGAAAATATCTGTGATGATCTTGACTGTTGTTTTGTGTTGAATCTTGTACTACTTTGAATACTTTGTTCAAACCATAGTACGACCCTCCAAAAGTGGAGCCAACTCTTTATCTCAAAGTATTGATCCAATTCTATCAAAGTTAGGATTTAAATAAGGATTTTTGGAGGGTAGTTATCACTATGTGCATAGAAACCTTGTAAAAATAATGTGTATTTTTTCTGTTTGAATTTCACATTTTCAAATATCTCCTTCATAGTACCTCGATGGGTTTGTTTTTATTATTACTTATTAAATTCATGGAAAAGTCCCTTATGGTATATCAGCAATACTGGTATCTTTTATGAGAAATTTGGACCGTATATGTCTGTAAATCAGACAGAATAGGTCTGTTCCTGCCTTGTGGTTATTATTTCTACACTTTCGAATAATTTCTAATATTTCGTCAAAATCCTTTTTTCTTGATTCTCTTTCCTCTGTAGTCTTATGAGGCCTTTTTATTTTTGTATGTTACTATTTTTTTTTAAATTGGCGATGGTTTGGATGCTTCATGTAAGAATTTAGATTTCTTAGCAAGCAGCATTCTGGCTTTTGTGATATCCCTTTTAAGTGATTTAAAAATCTGACTAAGCATATTTTTTATGTTGTTAGATCCTTGTGTGTGTATGTGATGTGGTGGATTAGTGCATTTTGTTTGTACCATGCACAACTTTGACTACCATTGGGAGAGTAGTTAGTGCAGTATGATATTATGCCAGCCTCAATTCAAGTTCCAATCAAGCCATTACCCTTTCCAATCTTTCTTGTTAAACATTACAAAGGTGGTGCAGATGGGATAAATTAAATTGTTCATATTATTTTCTCAAAATGTTTGTTAAACTTAGTATTCTGAGTTGAGCCTCATTATTAATAATTACCATTTATAGTATTTTTATTACTACTTGGTTTTGTAGACCTGGTGCCCAAGCAAATATTATCAGTAGATAGTTTTATTTGAATACACACTTGTTGTCATTTCATCCGAACAAAAATATTTTTTAAGAAGAATTGCATCGATTTGCACCAGTGTCTGTCTTGTTTCATTGCAGTCATTATTCTGGCGGATAATTTATTTTTCATACTTGTGAGCCTAGTTATTCCTACAATTCAATACAGATAATAATAAAAACATCACTTTCTGACTCTAATATTTTTTTATCTTATTACATTTATTGCATGCACTTGTCCTAACTTAATTGAGGTCGACACCTTTTGAGCTGAACCTTCATTTTCGAACTGAAGGCGGCCTTTATGAGGGCACACCACGGAAATGTGGACTTCGGACGCCTGGAAGCAGGCAGCCCATCGCCCAAAACAATGCTCAGAGCCGTGTGCGGTGGGTTGCCCGCTTCCAGGCTCCCGGCGGGAAAAATTCCGAAACTCGTTTTGGAAGCCCAGTAGGTACTGAGAGTGTGGTTCAATCTTTACCCACCCAGTTGCCATTCGGTCGGTCATCCCGGTGTCGTCCAGCGCCAGGGTGTCTTGGTTGGTCTTCTTGGTCGCCTGCAGGATGGAGAGAGAGAGAGAGATCGCAAATAAATAAAAAAGGAACTCGGAGTCGGGCAAGGTGGGAAGGGAAGGGGAAAGCCACTGCCGGATAGAGGAGCAGAGGAGGGAGGTCAGGTGAGCGGCGCGGCACCGCGAGGAAGGGGGGGGGGAGGGAGGGGGTGGGGTACCACCTCGCGGCTCGCGCGGTGCGGCGCGGCATGGTCGGGGGTTCAGTTGCTCGCAGACTGCCGGCAGATGTCGTTCGCTGACCCAGCCTCCGGTCTGGTGGGGCTCGATTAAGTCCCGGCCTACGGCCCCCACGGCACGGCTAGGCCCGGCCCCGCGGCCCACGGTCCTCCTCGGGGGGGCTCCTGTGTGGTCTTCCCTGTCACACTGACACATCCAGCGTCTGGCGCGTCCGGCGCGCCGCAACGGTCCGGTCCGGTCCGGTCGCCGTCAGAACGGATCTGCAGACGAAGCAGGCGCAGTGCAGCCTGAAAAAGAAACAGAAATAACAACACCGGAATTAGACTGGATTCGAAACAATAGCGCGTGTGGCCATTATTAAGTGCAACATCGGCGTGACAGTGTAGTGCAGCAGTGGATTGTGGACCTGTGCCTCTGCATCCACCGATACACTCTGGCGGCGCGTGGCGCGGCGTGACGAGGCGTGACACGCCGTGACATCGCATCAATGGCAAGGTATGTGACGTGTCACGTGTGACGGTGTCACGAGGTCCCTTTGGTGACTGCAGGCACGGCCGTGCGCCCGGTCGTGCGGTTTAGTGCCTGGACAATCAGTCGTGCAATCCTCATGACGCCCGTATGCATTCGTGGGAAGCCACTGACAAAAAAAAAGAAGCCACTGTGCACACAATGCCCCGGTGAAAGAAAATTAGGGCTGTTAAAGCCAAACGACATTATTGTCGATTACGGTTTGTGAGGCGTTTGTGAGGCTCGTGAGGGGCGGGTTCGGTAACCAGGGCAACCTGCTCAGTGCGCTGGCTGGGCGGGCAGGGCTAGCTAGCGGCCATTGCACGACAGGTGCTCGCACCACCGCTGCGATGGTGCGCTGCTTCGCTGCTTAGTGAGTGTGACGGAAAGAATACTCCGAAAAAAGAAGACAACGGCAACTTGAAGCGCGAAGCATGTGCGCCGCACTCTTTTGAATCCAACGCGCCCTTCTTTTGCCAGCCGGAGAACGCCACCGCCACAAACACGCACTCGCCCAGTACCCGTTTAGTTCGGCGCGAGCGAAAAACGAAACAAAAACTAGTGGCGCGGCCCGCGGCGCATCGCCTTCAAATTTTGAAGCGACTCGACTCCTCCCCGCGGTCCCCGCGGCACTGCCAAGGCACTGGCGACCGGCACGCTCCTCTACATCAGCGTCGAAGCGTCGACACGGCACGGCAGTGGCAAAGGGGCGGCATAAAGGTGGAGCGGGCATGGCAGCCAGGACTGGCAGAGTGCGACTTTTTAGCAGATGATACCTTTACTTACGCATTAAGGCACTAAGTTGAATACCTTTCAGGCGTTTTCAAGCGGCCTCGGAAATCGCCGCCACCCCTCTCTCCCGGGATCTGTGCCTGATCTACGACAGGGGGCGTGCAGGTTCAAAGTCCCGTGAGTCCCTCCGGCCTAGAGCAGGCCTAGAGCAGGCCTAGAGCAGCCTCAGCCTGCGAGCCCTGCTTTGGTCGCTGTCTCGCTCTCGCACCATGAGAGCGGTGCTCGGAGTCGGAATCAGCCCGCGGGCTGCGGGCCAGCCACGCGTGCAGTCCAGCCCTCGCACGGCCAGCCACGGCAGCCACCCAGTCAGCTGATCGCAGCCTAGCCCGAACCGGGAACTGGGAACCGGGAACACATGTGTGGGTGAAAGAAGGATCCGTCGTCACGTAGCTTAGCGTAGCATCGCGTGGCGTAGCGCAGCCGCGGCAACCACAGCGCGCCGACCACGCGGCCACGGCCTAGGCCCGCCGGGCACCCCAGCACGGCAGCACGGCGGCACGGCGGCACGGCCACACCGTGCAATCTGCAATCACACATTCCAGCAGCGGGGACCGTGGCCACTCCGTGCCTCCCTTGTGCCTCTCCGTGCCCATCGCGCACCGCGCTCCCATGGAGTACCGCGGCGAACGCGGCGCGTCGAGGGGGCCGGCCATTGGGGCCGGCAGGGCAGTCCCCGAGTCCGGACTGCATGGCATGGAGTGGTGCTCGTGCTTCCCATCGCCGTGGCCGCCGCGGCCGCGCACCGCGCACCGCGCACACTCGCACAGGTTGCGTCTGGGTCGGACTCTAGACTCCCCTAGACTCTAGACTCGCGAGGTCTACTGCCGGTTCCGTTATGCCAGGAGGGCCAGGAGGGCCGTGAGGCCATACGCCGCGCAGCGGAACAGGAATCACCAATCAAGTTTCCATCCCACGGTGTGCCGCACGGTGTGCCGCGCGGTGTGCCGTACGGCGTCCGCGAGGCGAGGCGCGCGCGGCGCGCGGCAAAGGAGGCGTCCTGGACGAAAAGGCAAACGGCCGAACCCAACCACAACAGTGCCAGAGTCAGAATCCCAGCGACAGCGAGCGGCACTCGCGACGCCCCGCCCTGGGGCTAGGGCTGCCCGACCTCGCCGCAGGGCTGACATCGGACGGAGCGGTCCTGTGGACGACGCGGAGGGGACACGGCGCCGTGCGGGTTCGGAAAAGAGGGTGGGTGTCACTGGAGGAAGGGTTTGTTCTGGCCGTGGGAACAGTGTGGCACGCCGTGGCACGCCACCGGCTGGCCTCTCGGCGCTGCGCGCTGCGCTGTGCGTTCTCCTCCGCGATTCGCCACGCCGCGGTGCCGCGGTGCATGGACTCGCGCCGTGCCCGCACTGGCAGGCACCTTGAGGTACTCCTTGAGGCACTGCCAGGTGCTGGCAGAATACCGCTGCTCGCGGGTCACGATCTCGCCGGCAAATTAGGTTGCAGGTTGGCCGCGGGGCTCGGCCGGGGCGGGGCGGGTCTGGGTCTAGGCCTCGGCGCGTTTTCAATTCTGCCCGGCCGCGGCGGCGCGGCGTGCGTCGCGAGGCGAGCCGAATAAGCACATTGAACCGGGTCGGCTGTTAGGCTGCACCGCGCACCGAGCTTTCAGCGGTCAGCTTTCAGCTTTGCAGTGCAGCGCGGCCTGGCCGGGCCCTCGGCCGGGCCGCCGGACCGCAAAGATTGGTCACGACGTCCTACAAAGTGTCCATTCATTAGAGGCTGAATCAGGCCCTAAAGGGCGACCTGGCGGCGCGGCGGCGGCCCCACGGCGCTGCCTCGGGCTGGCTCTTTATGGCCAGCTTGATCCCGTCCCGTCCCCGTCGGCGGCCCGCGGCGGCCCGCGGCGGCCCGCGGCCTATCGGCGGCGAGGTGCGAGGCAGTGCGAGGCGCGGCCACCATTATCCCAGTTCGAGGGCCCAGAACGCCCATGCGCCGCGCAGCCGCGCCGTAAACGGCACCACAGTTTAGCACGAGCGAGTGGCAACAGCAGAGACACGGGAAACGGAGTCGGTGCCAACCACCTGGAGCGCTAACGCGCAACGAGCGATGGGCTCCTAAAATCGCCGTCGTTTCGCTGACTGGAGCCTGAAGCTGCCTGAAGCTGCCCGAAGCCCGAACCAGGCCGACCAGCTGCACCTGCGCGGCGCGCTGCCCCGAATGCCGAATGCGTCCCGAATCCCGAATCGCGAAGCACCACTCGTCGCTCTGGGTCCGGCCTCCGGCCTGGTTTAGGCGGCCGCTCTGCTCCGCTCGGCCCCGCCATGGCCCCGCCTTGCCGCGTGGTGCGGCCGATATCGTTTGTGATGCCTCGCAATGCTTTGGCGCGCGCGACGACTCTAATTACCGCCAAGTCGAAGCCTCGCCGCGGGCTGGGCTGGGCCGCCGGGCTCGCCGCTCACGCACGAGGCACGGACCGGCACGGCCGCGGGCGGTGCGTCTGCGAGTGCCTCGCGCTGACCCGCGGCGTGCTGCGTCCAGAGGAAGGGGGAAGACCGCGGACACCCTCTGGCTGGACAACCCTCAGCCGATCCCCGCCAAGCCCTCACGGTCCTCGAGAAGGACCCGAATCAAAAACGTGACGCCGCCAATCCATTCATTCCTCGTCCGAAGGAACGGCGATTCATTGGTGCCGTCATGTCACGTGTTTGAGTCGCGATCGAGCCATCAGGTCGCATCAGCCTCGTGATTCTGGACTTGACCGAGTCGTGCAATCAAAGCACAGCAACTCACCGGTGCGTTAGCCATGGGTTGGACAGTTCAAGTGCCTGTCTACCTCATGCGCCAGGGCGGGGCGGGGCGGGGCGGGGCGGGGCGGGGCGGGGTGGCCTTTGCTGCACAACCTGCCTACCTCCCGGGCGGCGCGCGCTTTGGGACGTGGAGCACGTCGAGCGCGGCGTACTTGTGAATAATGGGACTGCCGATTTCGAGACGTGAGCCGGCAGCCAGCCGCGCACACTAGGCGTGTGCGCCTCCCAGGCTTTCCAGGCCGTGTTTGATGCTGCAGCAGCTGTGCCGCGGCGGCGAAGAGAGAAAAAATAAAAACAAAAAAACACGTCGATAGTCTAGGAGCGCGTCTGGAGCGACGTTACGCTCACCTGTTGTCCGTGAGAGTGCTCCACCAGAGAGGACCAGAGAGTGCTCCACCCGGCCCGGCCGTCCCACCGCCCCGCCGTCCTGGTGCAGGTGCGCGACGGAAGGTGCGCGACGGGCCGCGCCGCCGCGCCAGCCACGCCCAGGACGACCAGGACGCCGCGACGCGCCACGACGTCGGCACAACGATGGTACGACGGGTACGACGGCCGAGACCAAGGAGTGCGGCCGGATGTCCCTTCCTCCTGCCTCAAAACTGAAAACGGGGGCGGGCGTCGGGTGCTATCTTCAAGACATGGCGGCAGGCAGGCAAGTCACGAAGCAAGCGCTGCAGAGCCTGGCTCGGCTCCTGCTTTGCGGACGCTTCGACCTTCCCTTCCCGGCAGACTTATGCCCGAGCAGGCGTGGCGGGGCGAGGCGGCGCGCGGGACGCACCCTCGCACGTTTATCGGCCATCCGAAACTTTGTGTGCTTCTTTTGGAACATTTCGACCCGCGCCATGACGCCCTTCCAGCACCGTCCCCGCCTAGAGCCCGTGCCGCCCGTGCCGCCCGCACCGCCCCTTGCCGCCCGCCCCCAGGTCGGCACACCTGCCGACGGTGGCGCGCGCGCGGACGTCACGTGACTCCCAATCGGAGAGCTTCCTTCTCAGCGCCTTTTCCTCTCCCTCCCCCTCCTCTCCCTCCCCCTCCACCCCACCCCTGCGCGACGCATGTCGAGCCCAAAAACAAGAGCAGGAAAGCCGTGTTTGCGTCGTGTCTTCGCTGCACGTTGAATACACACGGCGAGGAAAAAGGAGAAGGGGGTTCGGTTTGCTCGCTGGCGCGGCGCGAGGAGCTCGCTGCTCGCCTCGCTCAAGAGGTTGTGCACCTGTTGTCACACAAGCCGTTGCAGGGCGTTGCAGGGCGTTGCAGGGCGTTGCAGGGCGTTGCAGGGCGTTGCAGGGCGTTGCAGGGCGTTGCAGGGCGTTGCAGGGCGTTGCAGGGCGTTGCAGGGCGTTGCAGGGCGTTGCAGGGCGTTGCAGGGCAATATGACGGAATCGAAGCGATGGAGACACCCAACCCCATTCCCCCTTTCCCTTCCCCTTTCCACCCCGCGCG